AACATGTTCTATTTTCCCTCTTTTCATAACATGGCCGAAAAATGACTTCTGATGTCAGTGATAAGTTGTCTTCGGGCTCCCGCCTCTTTTAAAACCTCTTGGTTGCTCTTTTTAGCTGTCCAAGGTATTCTAAGCATTCTTCTGTAAAACCACATCTCTGAAGCCTCCAAAAATTGTTTGGCCTGCCTACCGATTGTCCAGGATTCACATCCATATGTTAAAACTGGATGTATGTAGCAAGCAAGAATTCTTTTTCTAACTCTCAATGACCACTTGTATGTAAAAGTAAAAACAATGGACATTTCAGCACGTCTTTAGTTTGTCTGTTGTGTAGGTATTATGGACACAGTTTCATCATTCCAACATACCTGATTTCATTTAGCTGCAGGTTTGGGTTCCAAGACCCCATTGTGGGGGAAAACAAGGATAGACTCACTGCCTCCAAAAAGTATGTCGTAAGAGTTGACTAAGTGGGGGCTTCCTTCAAAGTCTGAGTGCATCTACCTGAGAGGCAAGGAACTAACAGTCAGCATTAAAAAAAAGTCAGATCGGTAAAACGAATGTGCACACAACACTCAGGTTCTAGAACAAGATTAAATCCAAAGGTGGACGAACAAGGAGAACTTCCCGCTGGAGTTTATAGCCGGTGAACGAGAAGATCATTACTCTTTTTTTTTTAATCATTTCTCATAATTCCTTTATAAAACCATTTCTGTGCAGCTTCTACATATTTGTTAAAACAAATTGTTGAACTGTCCATGACTCTCTTCCAAGAATCATGATCGACTCTATATAGCTCTATTCTCATTTGACAGGTTCAGATTACATAGAACAGGGCTATTTAACTGTGTGGAAATGAGAATTATCACGGGCCAGAGGTAGGTAGGTAAGTTGTAGCCCACCAGGATATCACACAAGCGACCCAGTGACACAAAGTGCCACCATGCGGATGAGGATCACCAGTGGAGAGGTCCCAGAAACCCCTTTCAGCCTTTAGGCCACATTTAAGGCCCCTGGCAAAAGCCAAGGTTAGGAAGACCCTTTTTAAGTGCATGACGGGATAATGTTAGCTGTTGATTTCCTTTAGAATGCGTTTCGACTGTGCCTACTGTTTGAAGAAGATTAGGATTATTTGTTGACTAAATAAGGACAGTGTTACATCGTAACACAATTTCTGGGAGCCTCAGAGATGTGGTTTTACTGAAGGGTGCTTGGAGTGCCAGGGAGAGCAACCGGGGGGTTTTGGCGGAGGCGGGAGCCCGAGGACAATTTGTCGCAGATGTCAGAGGGAGACAGTCATCATTTTTCGGCCATGTTATGAGAGGAGGGAAAATAGAGCATGTTGTGACCGCTGGAGGGGTTTGTGGAAGGGGGGATGGAGGAGGACGGCGAGAGAAGATGCTTGACAGTCTTGTTGCATGGCATGGAGGTGTGTCGTATCGCAGATTATGGAGAGGCATGATCGCCCACGCCAGTCAGCAAGGCACCTGATGATGATGTTACATCGTAAGAAATTCATAATAATAATATATTGTGCAAAGAACTACTTGTGCTTTCATCCATGAGGTATGTAAGTCCAACTTCTTTCGCCCGGTAACCAGCGAATGAACAGTTCATATTTCTATGTACCGTATGTGATCTTTCTTGGACATCCGCACTCATTAACTTATTGAGAACATAAGGGGTTTCGCTTGGCCCAGCTACTTCCCCTCCTCGAGAAAATTCCACAATGGACGGTGTTCAAAGTTGTTGACGTACATATTTCTGCTATGGTTACAGCTTTTCAATTGCAGGGCTTTTGGTGAAAAATACTTGATATTTCGTCAATAAACTGCAGGTAGGCATCTATCAATTTTGATACTTCGTGTCATATTTGAAAAATTCATGCTGAAATACGTATGCTTATCATTGAAGATTAAAGGCATCGTTGATTAATATGATAACTCGAAAGTTAAATTTACTACTTTGGCAGAACTATGTGTCTCTAAATTATTAGGTTATGTCCCTTAGTAGTAAAAAATTAGCACACAGCATCCCATGTTAAACGCAATTTTGTTGTTGTTTTAAAACCCTACAACGGCCGTTGTAGGGGTCCCAAATATAACCTAACGTGTGGGTTGATCAGGGTTTCTGGGGCCTGTCCCCGGGTGATCCTCACCACCTGGTGGCACTTTATGTCACAAGATGGGGTGACCCGTTTGCTATGAAGCTGAAACTAAGACTGCCAGACTTTATGTCACGTGGTGTTTGTCGCTCAGTGTGATGTCCTGAACTGGTGATGCTTTATGCCATTAATTGCATGTGCAATTACTTATTTTGTTGTAACTGTTGTAGGTATCTACAATGAACTGCATTTCTAGTTTGAGGCCGTTTATGTTGGCATTTGATGCATGTGTAAGCTACTGGCTTTGCCGAGACTGCAGCAGGTATTCATCTTTGTCACAAAGGACAATGGATTGACTGTTTTGTGTGCTTTCTTTTCACAAAAGACAAAAGATGGACTTTCTGTGTGGTTTGTATATAAATGATTCGAGTCCCTGGAGGAACTGAGCTTCTTATTCATTAAAAGCCAATCAATGTGTCCGACTGATGTATGCCAGTGTCCCTCTGCCAATTGTAAAAGTCTAACATGTGTCCGATGAATCAATCGTAAGCCTGTCACTTAGTCGTTAAGGCAGCCGGCTGGTCTAATTGGCTACTGCAGCGACACTATATATATATATATATATATATATATATATATATATATATATATATATATATTCAACTTCGAAACTCACAGTACCCGTTGCATAGTAACCATTTCGTCTTGTCCCTGTCGAACATCCGGTAAAGTGCAGCAGGAGAAGATCGAGGCCTGGGGGTCATGACCCTGGTAGGCCCACCCTCTGAAATCGTCCAAGAGGTCATGGGCCGAAACAATTGTCGACAAGGGATCTTCTAATGATGACCGGTGGATTCCTGCTGTACATGCTCCCATCTGTTCTTCTTCTCTTATCAATGTTTTCACAAGGGATTGACTGTCTGGGTAGTTTGTTTTCATAAGGGACAAACGATTGACTTTTTATGTTGTTTGTTTTCTTTGGCGAGGAACAGAGCAGATGTGGAGTGACCGGTTTTCTGTGATCACTTGAAAAGAACCTTGCCTATGCACTGCAAGCCGGCTGTTGTGTAATTGATTGCTACTATAGGAGAAAGATTGAATTCATATAGAACAGCACTGGGCTACAAGCTGGCATCAATAAGACGACCAAAAAAAAAAAAAAAAAAAACCTAAGAAGAAAGGACATTATGTAAATAATCTGCCATTTGGTTATAACGCTGTTGTGCATTATGGGAATTTCAGCCATGTTATGAGAAGATGTTTCATTACCTTGTGGGGTGCAATTTTTCGTTTTTTGAAGCCCCACCTAGCTCTTGCCAGGGGCCGCAATGTAGCCTGGCTAAAATATGGTCAAATGGCTGAACACGGTTTCTGGGACCTCTCCACGGTGATCCTCATCCACATGGTGGCACTTTGTGTCACTGGGTGTTTATCGCTTGTGTGATGTCCTGGTGGGGTAAAATGTACTACTACTACTACCACTACTACTACTACTACTACTACTACTACTACTACTACTACTACTACTACTACTACTACTACTACTACTACTACTACTGGGGCAGAGACATTATGGGATGATCACTTGCCACGAAATTGGAATGGCGACTAACGACTAAAATAATAGTAAACACACAAAAAAGTAACTTGCAATAATTGGCATTCGTATAGTCAGAGGAAATAAGCAGAACTTAGAAACATTTTAAAAATGGTTAACATAACTTCGCAAAGCGTGTAAGTGAGAGGTTGTTAAGCACCATTAAACTGCACTTTATTTCAAAATCATTCAATATAAAGATGCTGTACAAATATTGTGGATCGAGTCACGGCAAACATTTACAGTGCAGGTGGACAGCTTCGTTTTTGTCGCAGGGAATGCGAGTGTTGTTGGCAATGAAAGACCTAATATAGTCGCTGGCTGTGCCACAGTTGAAGATGGCCAGCCTATAGATCCAGCCAACACTTTTATTGCCTGTTTGGGCAGCAACGCGTCCACATCACTGCTAAGAATGCGTGAGAGACGTTTAACCCCACCAGGACCGCAAAAGAGACAAATACTCTGTGGTACCAAGTGCCACCATTTCGACGAGAATCACACTGGCACAAGTCCCAGAAACCCCGTTCAACCTGTACGTTATATAAGGGCCACCGAGACAGACATGGTGGGGCTTTAAAATAAAAGAAATTATAAAAATTGCGTCCCGTACTGGGACAGGTATTCGAATATAAGCTAAAAATTCTAGAACTGGGAGTCAGTGACAAAATATATTCTCGACCATGTTCAACCTACTGCGAGCAATATCGGTTTTAATTGTGGTCTGCTTTTTTGTGCCAATTATCTTGGCTAAGAAATGTTAATTGCACCAAAAGTAGTGGCTTAGATCGGTACTCTAGTACCTAGTGAGGGTTGCTGGGGAGGAGGCTGGTAAGCAGATCGGCATAACCAGGCACAAGAAGCACACCCGGCGTACGAGAAATCTTGTCACCCAGCACAGGTCGGGAACTTTTAATCGCGGTGCGCTAGGGTGTATGTCTAGGAGGGAATCTGAGCACCTATGGCCATGACTAGAGTGCCGTTAAAAAAACCAAATCATATTACATAACTTAACCGATTTAGTCGCCGGTATTTCATAAAACTTTCACAAGCAACAGCGGTTGTAATAAAATTACGGCTAGGTAGTAACGAACAGCGAATCTCATGAAATATTTTGCATACTAAAAAATTTAAACCACATAAAACACATCGAAGAGTAAAAATTGTATGTCTTTTACATTAATAACATTTTAAGTACATAATAAATCACAAGAGAACACAAAAATAGGGGTTAATATTATAATGAATTCGGAATTATATAACACTTTTTTGATGTTTTAAGGGAGATCACTGTGGTAAATCATGGCGGCAGCGTTGAGTAGAGGTCGAGTTAGCCGACACTGGTGTATCTTTCATCTTTGGAAATCTACAATACGACGTAAAACTACATCACAGTCATATTATGTGCTGTAAGTATTCATCTGTGGCTGTCCCTTCCATTTGTAGCTTAGGCCTGCATAAATTGCTTCAGAACTACTTTTGTTGTCTATCTATTCACGACAACTTCACTGCCATTCATTTCAGTCACTTTTTTAATTACACAACAAACACCCCCCCCCCCCTTTTTCCACGGCCAGTGGTACCTTAGTGAAACCTGTATACTCTTTGGCAGTTCCGAGCGGAGAAATTAACATTCTAGTGACGAAAAATACTCCCCAGAATTATAATGAAAAATGAAAGAAACAAGATGGCACCATGTTCCACAGTGAAAATCATATCTGAAATGACAGTTTGCATTGTATTCTTAATAATTTAGGCTCTCATCCGAACTTCTACCCCAGCATTATGGCGGCCAAACAAATATCCTAACAGGGCCTCAGTCCTGTGAAAAATTTGGACTTCTCGGACTTCCTACCGAGCGGCAAAACTAGGATCGGCTCCATATAACGAAACAAATGCTCTAACAGGGTCTCAGCGATATGATATGTTAATTGTGGACCTGTTTCTGTGACTCTGCCATATTCCCCACGCCGCGCGTAGCGGCGCTGATGAGGGTTTAACTAGATGGTTGGGACTCACGAGCAGCAGCTACTGCATCTCCTGCAACTTCCTCCAATTTATTTGCCCGTGAGTCCCAGGCATCTAGTTTAACCCCCCATCCGTGTGTAGTGGCACAGGGGATACTGTCGGCAGTGAGTGTAACCGCGTTTTGCACATGTAGAAAAGTTTGAGGACAACAACAATGCTAATCTGCGTCGGAGCGCGTGGTCTCCCCACCATGTGGCTTTTATCGTCTGTAATGTGCGTGTCTCAGAATTGTCAATGCTCGTTAGTATCGTATGCAGAAACGCTCGAAAATGTCAACGGTCCTCTACTATCGTCTGCAGTGTTGAGTCTTTTGAAATTGTCAGGTAATCCTAGTTTTGCCGCGATTTGTTTCTCACCGGAAGTTTGCATATTTTTAATAGGACTAAGGCCCTGAGGATATTTGTTTGGCTGCCATAATGCTGGGGTAGAAGTTTGGAGGAGAGCCATAATTTAATATCTATAACTCTTATGATTTTTTTGCTGAACCCCTTAGTTGTAACCTTAAATCACTGCTTTCAGGGCATCAAGCTGTAACCAGAAATGTTGCCTTTTTATAGACATGATGTGATACACACCAAGAGGAAATGGAGATGGCGGAGAATGTGAAAAAAGATAAGGTGGGGGTTTTCAAGCGCTGTGCTGCAAAGGCCAAAAGAGCAAAGTGGGAAACTTTTGTGAATGATATGGGAGGCGATAAAACATTAGGGAAATTCTGGAAACTGCAAAGACAGATGCAAAGAAAAGATCGCCTATGACAGTCGGAACAATTTGTAGAGACGATGCGTGTGACAACAGACAAGGAGAAAGGGGAGGATTTTCTCCATAGGTTTATAGCTCAGACAGATCATAATGATGTAGACATCAGGGATGCAGTTAGAAAGGAGTTAGCTGGCACCTTGAAGAATATGCATTATGAAGACATGATGCAAGTGGAAGATATCAAACAAATTTTGACAAAGGCAAAAGACACTGCACCAGGGACTGATGGTGTCAGGTATGGTCACATGAAGGCTTTGAGCGATGTAGACCTGGCAGAGATGGCCGACTGTTTTAACCAGAGTATTAAGACAGCATCAGTACAACAAGACTGGGTGCACAGCTATCTAATCCCACTACCAAAAAACTTTTAAAGATCATTCAAAGCTTAGTGGCTTTAGAATCATCACCTTACAAAACACATTTGGGAAGGTCTTGGAGAAGATAGTTGTTGTAAAGTTACAAGAAATTTTGGAAAGGGGGAAGCTTCTCCCAAGAGGTCTGGGAAGTTACAGGCCAGGAAAGGACACTTGGGCAAATGCGGCCACTTTTGCTTTTGACGTCTATGAAGGGTTCCAGAACAGACAGGAAACTATGGCGGTAGGACTGGATCTCGAGGATGCTTATAACAGAGTGAGATACGACATCTTAATGACTGCACTGAGGGAGAAGGGGGTCAATCCATGGCTGGTGAATTGGGTTGCAGCTGTCCTGTATTCATGTCGGGTTGCTCTCCGACTTGGCTCATGGACCTCTGAACCATGCACTTTGGCCCCAGGACTGCCACAGGGATCCGCCATCTCGCCTGTGCTCTTCAACGTGTATACGAGTAAGACTGCAAGCTTAGAAGCACCAGGAGTTGGAAGGATACTGACTTTTGCGGATGATATACTTGCATATAGGCAGGGGGAAGAAAGGGAACAAACAGCTCGGGAGCTACAGCGACAGTAGACAAAGTGACTGAGTGGTGTACAGAAATGAGGGCTGTCGTTCACCCTGAAAAGGCGTCTGTTTTGTGGTGTTCTCTGGACAACAGAATCGTTAAAACTAATGTCCCATATCTCACGATAGATGGTAGAGACCTCAGCAGAGAGAGAGCAAACTTAAGTATCTAGGAATTACATTTGACAGGAGCCTGTCATTTAAGGACCATGTGGAGAGTGTTGTGATGAGATGCCAAAAAGGACTTAGTGCACTTAAGACTATGGCTGCAATTGACATAGAGCAGAGAATGCTTTTCACACTATATCAGCACCTGATCCTGTCAGTGGTGGATTATGGCCTGGGACTGCTTACCGTCTCAAAGAGTCAGATAGACAAACTAGAGCGCATACAGAACGCGGCTATGCGGGTCATTTTGGGTTGCACCAGAGACACCCCAGTGGTGTGTATGCGAAACATCCTTGGTTTGCTGACAGTTGCAGGTAGGCACAAGGTGCTGCAGGCGAAGTCATATCTCAGGGTAGCTGCAGACACAGACCACCCTCTGCATGAAGCTCTGGGTGCAGTTAAGGGTCAGCGGCTGATAAGAGGGAGGTCATGGATGGCTCAGGCAGAAGACACAATCAGACAGGTTTGCATCCTTGAGAACATTAAGCGAGGAGAGGAGTGGGTCAAAGTGCCACCTGAGCAGTCAGACCTGTGTAAAGTCATAATCGCGCTGAGCCGGGAATGCAGAGACTGGTCAGCAGGTGCCACAGAGGTGGAAATTCAGCAATTAATTCAAGATAATGCTCGCTCAGAGGATTTGATCATTTACACAGACGGTTCAGTGTCAAGAGGCAAAAGAAGTGCTTGGGGCTTCTTAGCAAAAGTTAATGGTCGACGTTTGGTGCAGGAGAGCCTAGCATATGATACCACAAAATGAAGCTTAAGAATGGAGATAGAGGCGGTCACTGCAGCTTTCCGCTGGCTAGAGAACACGACATACACACACATCATGATTGTAACTGATTCAGAAAGCATGCTGAGGAAGATCAGAACAGGTATGCTTCATGCAGAGTGGCATTATTTGCTGCGGAGGACACGAGTGAGGAGTATTGTGTGGATATTTTCACCAGGTCACGCTGGTGTGTTGGGAAATGAACAGGTGGACAGACTGGCTAGCTCTGCACAACTTGGTGGAATACTGATACAGGCGTGGTTAGTGCCTTGTGGAAGAGCGTGTAAAATTTGGATCACCAGTCTGGTGAGATTGATGCAGTTGGGGGTGACGAGAGGTTCTGGCAGAAGCTCGAGGCTCAGAGGAAAGGCAAGACGGAAATTTAATCAGAAAGCTACTGGCACCATAGTATTGGAACTCTTCACTGGCTGCTGAAGATGGGGACGGAGCGCTTATGGGAAGGCCCCGAGTGCTGTGATGTCGGTTCTTGAATCAAATCAAAGGCTAAAGTCGAGCGGATCAACTTTTTTGCACCGTGATGAGTTTCATATGGCTCATTTTTCTCTGTAGAACGGCTAGCTGCATGCTGAGAATGTCGCACAAAGCCTAAACACTGTAGCTCTGGGGACAGTCCCCAGAGGTCTCCGTAAAAGTTGCACTTTTGAACCAAGCCAAGAACTTTCAGAACGCGAGACTAGTGGCTTGACCACTTCGCCATGGAGACCCCCATATAACTACCGTTCAACACCCTTCTTACTGATTTAACATAATCCCTTTTCTATTCTTTGCGAGTTATTCTGTCTGTCTCTCTCTTTTTTGTTGTTGAACTGATGAGCCCTTTTTGCCATAGCGTCCCTCTCTTCTTCTTAATCAGTCACAGCCATATATTTTATTTACTTGTTCAGAATAATCTAAGGTAACCAACAATGAACCAAAGGATCAGGATGTGGAGGGCTCGGGCATATCTCAAAATATGTGCTGATAAGAAACACCCACTGCATCAAGCGCTTTTTAGTGAAAAGGGCGACAGACTGAAGAGGGGGAAATCGTGGCTAGGTCGGGCAGAAGATGTTATTAGGCAAATATGCAGCCTAACCGACATCATACCTGGTGCAGAATGGATATCTGTGCCTCAGGCGTTTATTTGTACATTTTCCTGTATTGTCACGCTCAACAGGCGATGTAGAGAAGATAATCCTGTTGCTGTTAATGCAGAGGTCAAGGCTCTCATAGGTGAAAATTCAGACGAAGCAGATGCAATAATCTACACAGACTGATCCGTTTTACGCCAAAGAAGAAGCGCATGGGCATTTACAGCACGCTCAGCGGGCAGAACAGTCAAAGAAGCCAACGGCGCCTTCTCCATGACAACCAGCAGCATGACGATGGAGGTGATGGCAGTGACGCAAGCGCTTGCCTGGCTTGAAACACAAAAATACACCCGCGTGTGTATACTCAGTGATTCAATGAGTATGATCCTGAGGGTTCAGGCAGGTTCAGTGCGAAGACAATGGCTTGAATCATTACAGAAGTCCACTGTTCGTGGAGTCACCTTTATTTTTGTTCCGGGATAGGCAGGCGTCGATGGAAATGAAAGAGCTGACAGGTTGGCTGGATCCGCTATCACTACCGACGGTCAGCCTATGGATCATGCTGATATTATCAATGCCCTCAGAGAAATGGGAAGGATAGAGGACTTTGGTGGCAGTGAATCCACATCACTCGCCAGAATGGCAGACTTGGGAATTAAGATCGGTACAGCAAAAAACGAGACGCACACCAGACACACCAGAAGACTTGTTAATCAACGTAGAACTGGTACTATTAGCCATCGGACGTTGGGGTTCATACTGAGGGGAGGATCTGAGCACCTATAGACATGTCCGGAGTGCAATGAGGATAACCCAACTAACTAACTAACTAACTAACTAACTAACTAACTAACTAACTAACTAACTAACTAACTAACTAACTAACTAATCTAAGGTAACCACTTGTACATGATTTGTAATTCAATGCAGTGCTTTCACGGAGTAAAATTATTAAATAAGTTTTGTGATTCGCTTTGGATTTATGTTGTGTTTTTGTGGAGCAGCATTTTGTAAGGTAAGAGGAAGTAGAACATTATACTTTATTAACGTGTCTGTGTCCGATGTGATCTGTTTGCTGGCTAGTATATTTTATAATATATTTGACATTACAATTTTAAAAATCAATCATCAAAACAAAATAACTATTATTTTAAAACTAGCGAGCACCTTCCCATTTAAGAGTTATCCTTTGTAAATATGCATCTCATACAATACTAAATTTTGTGTTACTACTGATAGAATCAGTGACATTAGTATTAGTAATTAATAGTAACTGTTATACTATCTAAAACTTAAAAAAATACACATGGTGCAGTCCAAAAATGTGTGGCAGACATTTAAAAAAAAGTATCATTCTCGGTGGGGAGGAGGGGGTCAACAGGTAAAAAGGTCTCAAACAGGAAAAGTCCTTCATGCACATTGATAAGTTATGGTGTCATAAAGGCTAAAATGGTTCAAGATTTTAAAAAAAGGGAAATAACTAATTTAATTCCCCTTAAAGTAAATTTTTAAAAATAAACAAAATATGAAACTAATTTAATTTTTATTTAAGTGTATTTAAAAAAAGTTAATAATGCACTGTCTGTGTCCGTCTTCAATGTAAAATACCCTAGTAATATATTCAATGTCAGAAATTTGATAAAACAATATTTTCAGCTATTTAAAATGATTAAAACTAATGAAAGTAAAAGTAAAAAAAGATAAATGATTAGTAGAAAGGAAACTTACATTATTTTCAAACTGATGTTTCTGAATAATCAGATTCATCAATCTGGAATTAACTCTCTTGTATGCCATGCTGCATCCATTTTGAAAGACATGATCTCTTTGCCTTAATAAAATGAGGTCGCAACTTGAAAAAGTTTGGGAACCACTGGTTTAGTGCCTATGCTTCATTGGGAGCTAAAGTACAGAAGAAGGCTAAACCCATGCTTCGCACATCATTTACAAGTAATCTAGTATTAGTAAAAGTCTCTGCGTCTGACTACATTAATAAAGTCTTTGCTGAAACTGAGTTCTGTTATTTGCAGAGCTTCCAATTTAATATCTACAGAAATAAATTGCCAGGAAATCTTAGGGCCACTGAAACAAATTGACAAGTTTTAATTAAAACTTGTGGTGTGGGTTCCTTGGCCCCATTTGCTGGAATAAAATATTGACCCCCTGTCCCCGGAACAAGCATGTTGTAAAAGGTGACTAATCAGGAGTGTTTCCTCCGAAGTGGGTGTGTCTGCTTGAGAGATGAGGAACCGACAGTGTGCATACAAATTAGCCATATCTGTAAAATGTGTGTGCACTCAAAACTCAAGTTCTGGAACAAGACCATAGCCAAGAAGTGGATGAATAACCATAACTTTTTACCAGAGTTTAAAGTCGGTGAATGTGAGAAGAAGAAGAATTGGTGCTCACAGATGCAGAGGAAAAGTAGAGATAGGTTTTCCTGTCTCCACTTCTTTCAATTGCACATATGAGTGCCAATCAGTACATGCCAGTTTGGTTTTTTATACTGTTCTAGCTTCTTCTTTTCCTCCTCCTCTAGTCCTGTTCTGCTCTTCAGCTTCAGGTTTTGATGAGGCATCGGGTGAGAGCCTTGGAAAGTGCTATGTAGATTTATGGCCTCAGATTTGCCATCTATCCAATGTTTGTTTGGTCGGTCTCTGGCTCTGCTCCCATTATGTCTTAGTGACAGAGTTCTCTATGGTGCACTATCTGGTCGTAGTCTTGACACATGTCCGAACCAATTGATCTGTTGTCTCTTGATGTCTTGTTGTAAATCTCAAATTTACTGTAATGTTTTACTGCATTCTTCATACAGTCCCAAGTAGTTAGTATCCTTTGGATATTCTCTCCAGGTCATGTCGGTGTGTTGGGAAATGAACAGGCAGATAGACTGGCCGGTTCTGCACCTCTTGGTGGTTTACTGATGTATGACAAGCTAGACGTTGTGAGTGCCCTCTGGAAGTGATTGAACAGTGCAGAAGCGCAAATAGACCATTGCCGTCTGAGGAGAATGGTGCTTGCGAGGAGTTACCAGAGGATCTGGCCAATGCTCAAGGGAAGAGCGAGACGGATATACAATCAGACAGTCACTGGTGCCACCAGAATTGAAACTCTTTGTTTGCTACTGAAGATGGAGACGGAGCGCTTATGGGGGTTTCCCGAGTGCTATGATGTCAATTCTTAATTCAACATTCATACGGTTAATTTATTTTCTTTATTTGCACACATTGCAGCCTTCCAGAGATTCCATCTGATACAGCAGAAACAAATCCTGTTATGAGAATAGACCAGCTGCCACAGTTCTCTCAGATTACCCCCAACAGATGCATCGCAGCATGTGCCAAGCTGGCCATTGAATATCAAACCAAATTAGAGAATCATGTGGAGTCACTGAAAGGCAAGTTTTAAAGAGAGCTGCTTACATTGGTTCAACTTTCTCCTCCTCTTTTTCCGGTTCTCCTCCTCCTCCTCTTCGTCCTTCCTTTTTTTGGTTTTGTTATCTTCTCCTTGTTGCTACTGATTTTGCTTCTCCTGCTCCTTACCCTACATCTTCCTCCTCCTCCTCTGCATCTTTTGCTTAATTTTCTTTTGCCCCTACTTCTTCATATGTGAAGGGGGAGGCCAAAAGGGCAGAATGTAAGATGGGCCTGCATGCCCAATTCTAAACCCTTTAAAAATAAAATTAGTTCATTTCTTTCCCCTCCTCCCCCTCCAAGTCAAGCATAGGCCCTCAGCCAACTCATGTCAAGTTGTCCTATCATTTGTCAGCAAATGCAGCTTACCCCGTTTCCACCCCATGCTTTTTTTTTTTAAACACCAGTATCGAATTCTCCTCTTCTTTTCCGTTTGTAACACTATTTTCTTTTCTGTTTTTAACCCTATTTCCTTTGACTCCATAGGCTGAAGAATTAGGAGTTATGAAGTCAAGAAAGAAAAGCTTTAGGGAAAGTTGTATATTGTTTGTTTTTCTTTATAGATGTGAATGCTGGACACTGAGTTGTGAACACAATCACGAAGACCCAATCAATCTCACATGGACGAAACAAGAAACAGACTGTTGTGTTTAATTGCTAACTAGACACAACAGACTCTGCAGCCATATGTACAAGAAGTTTAATAGTGGGGACTCAGAACTTTGCCCATGTTGATAGGAAAAATACCGAACATATTCTGCAGACATACTCCTTACATGCAGGAGAAAGATCTCAGGTTGGCTATCCTCCAAATAACGGGCACAAAAGATGGCGGCCAAAAACAGGGCCTCAATTACGACGTGTCAATTGCGCACTTCCGGCGACCTAATTTGCGGTTTTCCGGCGACTACCTTCACTGCCGAGAGTATCCCCCCACGCCGCTCGCATTTTTTTAAGGAGCTGGTCCCTTGTCCAAACTTCCTTCTTCTCATCTGGGCTTGGGATTGGCAGTAACAAGAGATGACTAGGTAGTTGCTTTGCTGGGGGGGGGGGGGGGGGAGTCGGCATGATCAACCAGCATCCCTGAACTGGGAGCTTTAGGTTATAATTGTGACTAGATTATTTGTGCCATAAAAAATGGCTTAGGGTTCCAAGAGCCCTGAAAAGGACTCCTTCAGTGTTGATGTGATCAGAGGAGACAGAGCCGATAATCCTCTCCTATCTGCAGATATAACTAGACTAACTCCTTCAGTGTGGGAAATGGTCCAGGCATACAGCATAGACCTACAGCCTAACTATAGTCACAACAACAATTCCAGGCATAGATAGAAAGGCTGAAGAATGTGACCTAGTACTGCAATCAAAGACCCTTGAACATGTCTGTTTCTGCTTTTTACTGTGTTACTCCAGTTGTTGGCTGGAAAAGGAAATAAACAGTTATTAGTAATTAATTTCTTATATTATATGCATACCTTGTTTTTATTTTTAGATGGAAAGAAGGCGATCAGCTTTGAAAGTGTATACAATCCCTTGGAAGAAGTTTCTGTCCCTCTTAACACTGCCTGGGCAACAGTGAAAAATCTTCATTATGTTTCTCCAACAGATCGTTATCATAAAGCATTTGCTCGGGTTAGTTGTGTTTTGTCTATGAAGCATAAAAGATTGTAAAATTTATTTACCCTGATAAAACTGGGAATTATTTATTTCTCAGCTTTCTACAATTTTGTTTCAGATGTAGTTTAAAAAGTCTTTTCAAATGTCGGATGAAAAACCGAAGGAGATTGTTATAAATTGCTGAATACAGGATATTCGGGAGAAAAAGTTGTTGATATTACTACCACCCATTTGAAAGAAGAAGACTAAGAAGAAAACTATTATGTATTATTTGTCGAGTTCGGTGTTGATTGATATAGCACTACATTATCTTTCAACTTGATTTTCCTTTAATTTTTGACATGAAAAGTCTCTTATTCTGCTTCGATGTATAAATGGTCAAATTTAGAACAGTGGCTTATAATACAGAACATTTATAGACTGTTATAGAATTAGAGTTCTCTGCAAGACACTGTATTGATTGATGATTATTTTATTTAATCATTCCAGGACATATATAATTTAATATAATGAAATGAAATATGTGGATAGATACTGTTATTTATGTATATACATACAAACATGTATGTATTCATTCTTAAATGAGTTATGGTACTTTAGTGTGTTAAATATATGCAGAGTCATAGAAGTAAGAACATTAAATGGGATGAATTCAAGAAAAATTAAGAAATAAGACAAATCTCTGGACAACCCTTCATATTAACAGTTTATAAGACACAGAAGATGGTGATATATTGGGCACATCCTCAGGAAGAGTGAAAAAAGAATCACCAAAAAGGCACTTTAATGGGATTGAGGAGGTGAGGATGTCCAAAAGAAACCCTAGGATGAACATTGATGAAAGAGTCCAAAGGTGCTTTGCTGAATTCCATCCATGATATGGAAAGAATAGAGCAGAATGGTGAAAGAAGAGATTGTGAACCTTGTTTAATACGTGGAGAAGTCAATAAGTAGGTCACAAATGGTTATGGGATGGCAGGAACATGTAGTTGGTGGTTTCTAAAGGTGTCATTAGGTGACAGCAACATCGAACTTTATGTCTCCGTTCATTATGTGGCGCTAGATATTGCATGCACAACACATAAACAATATGGTGCTGTTTTGAGTTTTTCTTGTTGTTGGGCAAAAGGGATGTCTGCAAAAGACATTCGTGAAGAAATGCTTCCTGTTTATGCTGACAAATGTTTAGACTGCAAAGCAATGCATTGCTGGGTAAAAATCTTTTCTCAAGGGTGCTCTAAAATTGTTGCAGCGGGCGAAGGAGATGATTAGGGGTGACAGGCAAGTAATGGTTGACTCTGTAGCAGATGCAGTAGGGTGCTGACATGGTTCAGCATACAACATAATGCATGATCGATTGAAATTTAAGAAAGTTTGCTTAAGGTGGGTACCCAGATGTCCAAGCCTACTGACTAGAGGAGTACTACTCCTTTGCGACAATGCCAGACTACATACTGCTTGGTTAACTCAGGAGAAAATTAACTATCAAGGGTGGGAAATTCTGGAACATCCGCCTTACAGCCCCGACTTAGCCCCTAGCGATTTCCACCTTTTTGGTCCACTGAAAACCCACCTTGGTGGGAGACATTTTGCAAATGACGCAGAAGTTGAATGTGAAGTTAACTAATTTAGCATAATTACTCTCGTGTTGAATTTCAGATTCATCAACAAGTGGACAGAGCAAAGAATGAGAAATGGGTTAATGAGCCATTGTACACCTCTTTCAAGGTAAGTTTTCTGTAGTGAACCATTTTCTCCTCGATAAATTATGTCCCAGACGGAATGACATCAGCTAACAAATATAAATGGGATATTTGAGTGTAACAAGGGCAGCAACATGAGTCACGGACAAAATGCTGGCCAAATGAAACCCATGTGAATCACGGAGAAAATGTTGGCCATGAAATCAATGAACCAATGTGAATAAGAAAACACGAAAAAGTCGTAATTGTAATGTGGGCATAGAAGATTATATAATGCCTTAGAAAGAGCATGTGGGCAGTCTCGTTTGGGCCAAGAAACGGTGTGCATGAAGAATGTAGGAGTGTTTGTGGATCCAGAATGTGTCTGAGTATGAATGTCAGTTCAAACGCCCTACCTGGCCAAACAGCAAAGAAGTGACGGAAATTTCGTCTGCCGGCTGATTTTGTGTTTGTCGCCAACACGGAAAAAGTTTGCGTGCTTTATTGTGATTGTTCACTGTCGTCCATTTCTACTCGTCGTGATGATGTCGGAATTTGAAAGAGTAGTCTGCAGTGACTGGAGCCAGAAAGATAAAGAAGAGAGTCATTGCACAAAATGGAGGCTCGTCCAAACAATAGAGGTTGAGGACAATTTGTTTGATAAAGAAGAGAGTCATTGCATTTTCATACTTGACATTTAAGTATGATCTCATTCTCTGTTCATCTTTCTTCTTCTGTGTTTATCTTTCTTTTCCTTTGCCTTCTTCATCTCTTGCTGCCTGTCCTCTGCCAATGGAGCATAGGATTTCAACCAGCACACATCCAGAAAAGTACAGAAATCCATAAGATGTAAAAAATATAAACAACCTTTCATGTTTATGCATCATATTGATTACTTTACTTCCCCGTGTGGGGTTCCGGGTCCTGTTATAGGGAAAACAAGAATAGACCCACTGCCTACCCAAAAGCATTTTGTAAGAGTAGACTAACTGGGAGCTTCCTTTAAAGTCTTAATGCATCTGCCTGAGAGGTAAGCAACCAGCAGTCTGCATACAAATGTCAGATCTGTAAAACGGATGCACACTCAGGTTCTGGAACAGGACTGCAGTCCAGGAGTAGATGAACAGCCAGAACTTTCTGCCAGAGTTTACAGTTGGTGAACGCAAAGAAGAAAGAAGAAGATTACTTTACTTCTGTATGATTATTTAAAATTATTTTCTGTAATTTGACTTAACAAGGATCAATGAAATAAAAAGCATTCATTTGCTCCCTCTTCCTCTCTCACCACTCCTTATCTCTCCCCTTCTCACACACACACAAAAAGAAAGAAAGACGGAAAAAAATAATAAAAATAATTTTTGTCTCTTCCCCTCAGCAATTAAATGCCAATGCCAATCTCAGCGAGTACCAGAAGCGATTGGTGGATTTATACCTGCTGGAAGGGAAGTTGAATGGCATGGAGCTGCCCGCTGCAGAACGGGGACGTTTGGCTGAATTTGCTCGGTTAATCAGAGAAGGGAGCAGAAGCTTTCGGTAAGCTTTTCTTATCCTATCCTTTCAAGTCACTTTTTCGTCCTCCTTTTGTCTCACAGTTGGAGGGGGGGGGGGGGGGGGGGGCACTGTAAACAACTTCTCATGGGAATAATCAGTACAGGTACTTTGGCATGGCTGCTGCATCTCAGGACTTAGTTCACATAGGAATGCCCAGTGTGCAGTGATGCTGATTGTGATAACATAACTCCCAATGGAGTATAGGTTCTCAAACCATCATGCTAAGCCTTTTTCTCTTGCGATTGTGTATGATTGGTTTCACTTTGCAGCTGCAGTTTTCTGCAGGATGAAGTTGTCAGACTCATGCACCCTACTTAAGTTGCCTCTTATGACACGGAGAGAGACCTTGAAGGGCAGAATGTTAAACGGGCCTGCGTTCACAATTCTTAACCCTTTAAAAATAAATAAAGTAAAAGTAATTGTGGTGTAAACAGCACCCTCGACATTTGTAGCTAAAAATTCTGTATCCCTATAGCTTACCAAACACTAAAAACCTGGGATGTCACCAACATCCTGTGGCAAACTGAAAAAACTGAGTTCATTACTCTGTCTGTACCTAAGTCAGCCTCATCCTTGTAATGAGCTCCTATCATAATGGATAGACCAACAAGGCACTTATTGAAAACAGTCTGGTAAACTGCTGGAGTCTTCTTGCTTGCGTGAGTATTTGCTGATGCAGTTATTACCCACGACAGGCTGACAACACCTTTGGTGGATCTAACGTCTCCAAATAGTGTATAGTGATTCTTAAGAGTGCTGTCCCCTCTATTCACAACTAGGTGGTAAGGATTTGCATTTTATACCCGCCATATAAGCTGACTGCTAGTTTTTGTTAGCTTGAAAACTTGACTAATTCGCCAGAGTTTACTTTAGTTTACATTATAACTATTTGTTTTCTGTGTGTGAATTCCGGAGTTCCCCCAACAAGCATGTCATAGGAGGCAACTAATTAGAGGTGTTTTTTCAAAGTCAGAGCTCATCTGCCTAAAAGGCAAGGAACCAAAAGTTGCATACATTTAAAAAAAACAGATGTGCATACACAATTCAAAATCTTGATCACTTTCAAAGTCAAGTGATGGATGAACAACCAAAATGTATCACCGGAGTTTACGGTTGGTGAACCTGAAGACGAAGAAGAAGAAAATTAAAAAGAAGAGGACCATTCTTTGTCCTAGCGATCCATGGGCTGTAAATCTCTGTAAGAGAAATGCAGTCCTATAGTAGATACTGCCTTTGGAGTGTGAAATATTGGACGTTCACAAATTCTAGTCCACGACTCTCGTCTTCTTATTAGTCACCTCCTATGACATGCTTGTTAGGAATTTGGGGGGGGGGGGGGGGAGTGGGGGGGGGGTCTCTTCTTTATTCTAAACAAATGAAGTCTTGGAATCCACACTGGGTTAGTCCCATGACAGATGGATCAATTCCCTTTGTTCCCTTCCTGATCAGAACATTCTAGAAGTTCTAGAAGATCTAGCAACTTTGTGATACTGATTGAACCATAAGGCCATGCTGGTCAGAGAAAGTTTTGCTTATGGTGAATGAACGAACAAACTTTATTTTTAATGGGTTAAGAATTGGGCACACAGGCCCGTCTGATATTCTGCCCTTTGAGGCCTCCCTCCTTTCTGACATCATTTCATTCACACATCACGTAATAGTAAACATTATCAGAAGCATCAATAATATTCAATACAGGCACTGGAATGTGCACATTTTTAACTACCATAAACCACAGTAATTTCAATAGATCTAGGAAAGATGTGTGCCATTTCTAAAATATTTTTTATCCCTAATGGGGGCATGTAATTTGTGCTCACATAATATTCGAACAGTTTCCGATTCTATGTATAAGGACTAGTGGCATTTTTTATTTGCTGTGGCAGATGGTGATTAATTCTAGATTACTATCATAAGTCGTCATAAGAATGAATCCTGATATATCTGCCCAAACAGCTGTCACTTGGACACCAGAGGGGAAAGACAAGAAGGGGCGCCCAAAAACAACATGGAGACGAACGATGGGAAGTGAACTGAGTGCTGCATCTCTGACATGGAAAACTGCACTGAAGATTGCACAGGACATGGAAAGTCCTCTCTGAAGCCTCATGTGCCACCAGGCATGAAGAGAATTGAACCAAACTTAACTATCTTAAGTGCACTAATCACTATACCGCCATTTCTGTTTACCTATTGCCATTTTGTTCTTTCCTCAGTGATATCAATAGTTGTTGACAAGCAGTTCTTTTTACGTCTAATTTTTCTGTCTCCGTCTTATTATGTGGTAGACATCTTTTTTGATTTTGTACCTTGTATCTTCACAATTTATATCTTTTTCACTGTGTCTGCATTCAGTTGTTCAACATGGAAGCTGTGTATTTAAAATTGTAAAATTGTATTACTCAGTAAATAATGTGTGTAATGAACTACACAACTGTAACAAAGAGGAGAGTATTTAAATCTCTAAGGGGAGAAGTAAGCAACTTTAAAAAAAATGTCATGTGGAGAAAATGAAATAAAATAAAATAAATAAACAAAGGCTAAAAAATTTAACACAAAGAATCAAAAGTACTATTGTTAATATATAATATAATGATAGGAATAAAAAAGTAATAGAAATACAAATGTTAATGATAGATAAATGGTACTGATAAATGGTATTCATAATATGAAATAAAAATAAAATAATTAAAATTGAAAATGTGGTAATAATAAAACTGTTTAGATGGAAGTGTGTTGGAAATTGATGCCATCTGGATTAATGCCTCCATTAGCTTGACTGCAGTTACCCCCATCTTTTCACCATTTGTTAGGTGGCAGTTGCTCCTCCCACCACCACCACCCCAAATGGGGCACTAAAACTCACCCATAGAAAGAGCTGTTTCATCAGTAGTAAACTAGGAAGTCTTTTCTTTGAAACCCATACATCCTAATTTGGTGGTGGTGGGAGATAGACCCATTGCCCCCCCCCCCCCCAACAAGCATACCATAAAAGACAACAGATTAGGGGTAATTTTTTTATTTGAAGTCAAAATGCATCTGCCTGAGAGATGAGGAACCAACAGTCTGCATACAAATAAGCCGGATCTGTAAAACTGATGTTCACACTAAAATCAAGTTCTGGAACAAGACCAAAGTCCAGAACCACCAGAACTTTATGCCGGGGTTTGCAGTCAGTGAATGTTAAGAGGAAGAAGAAATCCATAAGGGGAAAAATGAAATATGAAAACAATGCAGATAATTAGAGACTAAGATAAACAAATTTAGGGAAGGCATGTGAAAAGCTGAACAGTTGTCAAAAGATAACTTGGCTTGATATGTGTTGCTCATGGTATGAGATAGCTTATGTTCCTTTGGGGGATTAACAAAGAAGACAAATTGTAAAGAAATTTATATGTTATAATTATAAAGGCATTTTTTAAAATTCCCATTTCTTGTTTTTGTACAGGAACAAAGTACATATCACACAGGAGATGTTTTCCCATGATGTCACCGATTTCAGCTGTCTCCAGGAGATGCCATGGCCAATTTTAGCTCAGATGTCTAAAGATAGGTAAGGATGCAGTTTAGTTTCTTTCACATGTACAGTTTTTCTGTGCAGCTGTATTATGTTGTGGAAATACATAATTTGAATGTGTAAAGTCCTAGAAGTGGATGGAGATTCTCGGCTTTTTGTTGAAGAGAAATCGCAAAGCACAGTTTGGTCATTAGTCTTGGTTTGAAGCATCTGAAATGTAGTAGTATATATATATATGTGTGTGTGTGTATGTATGTATAAGCTAAACTACTAATCCTGTATTTTATAGTGTGGAATAATTTCTTCTTCTTCTTCGCATTCACTGGCAATAAACTCCAGTGGAAAGATGTGGTTGTTCGTCCAACTCCGGACTTTAGTTTTGTTTCAGAACCTGATTTTTGCCTGCACATATTTTTTTTTACAGATCTGGCTGATTTATATTGTTATTCACTAATAATAACAGATTATTCTGCTTGGCATTTATCTTATTAACTATTAATAGTAAATTGTTCTGCACAACATTTATCTTGTTATTAAATGCTGAAAGCATTGTTAAAAATGTCTTCTTTGTAAATAGGGATGACCCCACTCGGGGTCCATGGCGAGCCACACTGCAGCCTGCAAACTACCAGTCCATGATGACCTACTGCAGTGACAGGATGACCCGCTGGAATATTTGGTTTGCTTATCACAACCGAGCCTCGCATGTACACACCTCTAGGCTGATGAATAACAACAAGCTTATTGACGACCTCAGAGCTTACAGGTAATTTTGAGTGGTGTACAGAAGTCGTAGGATGTGATTTTTTTTTTCTCTCTAAGGTTTTGAATAATGTGAATTCAGAAGACAATTATTGGTCTACAAGGCCCTATACAATATTTACTGCCTATGTTGGTTCCGGAGGGAAGAAAAATGAAGAGACTCACTGCCTCCTAACAAGTGTAACGTGAAGAGTCGACTAATTAGGGATTTTTCTTTTGAAGTCGGAGCGTATCTGCTGCAAGGTGATGAACCAGCAGTCTGCATAAAAATAAGCCAGATCAGTAAAACGGATGCAAACCTTTATTGTGGAGGTGGCACATGATTTTATTGTTCATAAAAAAAAAATATACAATGAACCAAAAAAAAAACATGTATTGAACGGATTGAATGGCGCTCATAGGAAAAAAATAAGAAAGACGGTAATTTACTGTGCATGTTGTGAGGGGCAACTAAGAAAAACTGACATGAAACTGATCGTCTCATTCCATTGAAAACCTAACAGCAGTGTATCTGCCTGAGAGGAGAGGAACCATTGGTCTGCATACAAATCTGCAGAATGGATGTGCATGCAAAAACCCCAAGTTCTGGAACTAAAGTAAAGTCCAGAAGTTGACGAACAAACAAGCTGTCTGCCAGAGCTCATAGCTGGTGAACTCTGGGAAGAAGAAGAACTTATCTTGAGTTGGTTGTTGGTCTGTGCTTCATTGATAAGGGGAAAAAGGTGGGTGTGGGGGGAGGGGTGGGTGGGTGGCAGGTAAAAAATAAGATAAGAAAATACAAGTACAGTAAAAACGGTCTCATTGTAATTACTATTACATAGAAAACCACTTGTTATATTTTGAGCATACTCATATGTGGCCATCCATTTTGAGCAGTTGACCGCTTGATCCTCTAGTGTTCTGTTTTTTACAGGTGGTTGTAGAAATAAGACCTAATAAAAGTATACAAAAGAAATGAGCTACATCCAAAAATATGCTGAGAAGAACATTACAGACAAATTTAGAGTGTTGATGATATATTAGGGGGCTGCAAAAGATCCAAATCTTTTGTGTGAATGTCTGTGCTCCAATGGGATAATAAAGGGCAAAGAAAAAGTATGTTTACGCCTTGTACTGCATATTACAACAAATCCTAATCCATTGTTAATCTCCCAACCAAGGGAGTAGCAGATGGCCAAGTGGTTAGAGCATTGGGCTCTAATATGAGATTCCTGGGTTCAGTCCTCAATAAGTATGTTGTTTGTTACTACCGGATATTCCATGGTTTGTATTGTTTATATGTTGTTTTAACCGCCAGATATGCTGTGTTTTGTATTGTTTGCATATTATTTTTACCTCCAGATATTCTGTGGCTCATATTATTTACATGTTGTATTTTTCCATGTGGGTTCCGGGGCCCGTTGTGGGGACAACCAGAATAGACCCACTGCCTTCCCACCAAGCATGTCACAAGAGTTAACTAACAAGGGGCTTCCTTTGAAGTAGGAGTGCAAGGAACCAGCAGTCTGCAAACAATGATGTTAGATCTGTTAAACGGATGTGTACGCAACACCCAGATTCTGGAACAAGACTAAAGTCCAGAGGTGGAAGAACAACGAGAACTTACCGCCGGAGTTTACAGCCAGTGAACTTGAAGAAGAGGAAGATATTTTGTTTTTAGTTCTAGATAATCTGTTACTCATATTATTTACATGGCTTTTTTTTTAACTTGCAGATATTCGGTGGCTCAGATGTTAGGGTACACAAATTATGTTGAACTGTCTATGGAAACCAAAATGGCCAACTCAGTAGAAAATGTACTGAGCATGATTGAAACGTAAGTGGTGCCTACCGTATGTTTAATGTGGATATTCTGTACAGGTTCTTATAGTGAATTAATTTTTATTTTTTTAAGTTTTCAGGACTTAATAACAACAAATACGGAAAAAGATTAGAAAGAAAAATACACTAGCGAGTAGAAAGTCAAGTAAAGAACATGCCTGAAATGCATCAGGTATAGACAAGTCAGCAATCGTACACTCACACGCTAAAGAAATATACCACAAATGCACCTTGGTGAAGCGGCTAGATGCTCCCTGTGGGTCTGAAGGTTGTAGGTTCAGGTCCTAATAGAGCCAGACTTTTTTTTTTCTTGTTTTCTTCCAGAAATGACTGGCTTGCAGTTCCACCCAGCCTTAAATGGATGCCAGGTAAAGGCCTTGGAAGTAAAGGTGGCTGGTTTGATGCTGACCCCATCACCCACCAAATGCCAGTTAGTCTATAAAATATAAGTCTAGCCCTGTATGCCCAATACACCTAAAGGCATGCAAAAGGATTCCATTACTTACATATTTACACACATCCTGGCATAAGATACATTTGTTATAGGGCTCTCAAAGATATTATGATGATGTAAGCATATTTCTTCTTATTCTTCCGTTGTCATCTCACTGATACCAGGTCGTAGCCAGTTTTGTGGTTTTCTTGATTTGTCTTGCGCTTCTTATGTGGCTTGGGTGATGGATTTGTTCATCTTTTTGCAGTTTTCAGCTAGACCATTTGTCCATCTCTTTCTTGGTCTTCCTCTGGCTTGCCTCCCAGATGTTCTGCTGTAAACAGTCTCATATGCAGTTGGGCCTGACTGCATTCTCGCTAGACGGCTGAACCATTTCATTCTTTGTCAATATAACCCAGACATGGTCTTATCTGAACATATTTGAAGACAGCATTCTGAGAGCAAGTGGATGTGAGAACATGCTTTACAGTATTATTCTGAGTCAGCTTCCAACGACTCATGCAGCATTTCTTATGTGCTGTTTAATGAACTGTTTATTAGCTTTCAGGTTGACCAAGCCTAAAAGGGATACTAGGTAAAGTCCTGGGAAGTAAAGGTAGCTGGTGTGATTAGTCTGTAAAATACAGGTCTAGCACCATATGCTCAGTATGCCTGAGCTACTGACTTTATTGTTTAACTGATATTTAATTTGTCTTGTGGTTGTCTGTGGCTTGGGCGTTGTGAGAGCGCTTTGTGTTTCATGCTACCCCGCTTCCATACCAGCTGCGGAAAACTTGGCAGCATTCCTCTTTTTTGTTGATTTGGACAGTAATTTTAAGAACATAGTTGAACTTTAAGAGAAAGAACCTGACCCCCTTTTTTTTAGAGGAAATAAGAGCAGCAATCATCATCATCATTTAGCAGGTTGTTTGCAGAACGTGGTTGTCATCATGGTCTGCCTGAAAGTAACTAGGTCTCTCACCAGCTCACTTGTACTTTCATTTTCAAGGAGTCACTTATAGCTTGTGTCCATCTTCATATTGGTCAGCCCTTTACTCTTCTTCCTAGTACTATGCCTTCTGCTAGAATTTTTTCCATTCTGCCATGGCGCTTGGTATGACCAAAATATTTCAGCTGCCGAGCAGCAATACAGAATTTAAAAAAAAAAGGAAAATCTCCAGTATATGATGACATACCAGCAGAGTTAATACAGGCGGGGAGAGAAGCCAGTTTCAATAGAAATCATGCACTGTGTGTGAAAATCTGGAACAGTGCTGACTGGCCCAAAGCATGGAAAAGAACAGTCTACATTTCTCCCCCAAAGAAAGGAAATCTTAAATTATGTACCAGCTATTGTACTAAATACAAATTGTACACAATTTTTTACAGAAGAATGTTAAAAATACCTTGGACAGTAAAAAAGAGGGGCCGGGAGGTTTTGAAAGACAACTAATCACAGACATCAGAAGGAGACATAATTTTTCGGCCATGTTATGAGAAGAGGGAAAATGGAACATGTTGTGACCACTAGAAAGATCTGTGGAAGGAGGGTTAGAGGAAAACAACGAGAGAGGATTCTTGACAGTCTTGTTGCATGGCATGGAGGTGTGTCAGCACACGAACTGATACATGCTGCAGGAGATCACGGATTGTGGAGAGGCATGATCGCCCACGCCAGTCGGCAAGGCACCTGATGATGATTGTACTAAAGCTCTGATCAGCCATGCCAGCCAAATACTTCTGCGATTCTCCTGAAGAGGATTGAAAAGAAACTAGAATGTGAATTACAAGAAGTACTAGCAGGTTTTAGATGCAGCAGAGGAACAAGGGATCATATTTTCAACAAGAGAATCATCCTTGAGAAATGTAGAGCACAAGACAGATCTCCATACATGCTTCATAGACTGCAGCAAGTCTTTTGACTGTGTTCAACACCAAAAACTGTGGCATATGCTGAGATGCATAGGATTCCCAACATATTTGATACATCTAATGGAATCTCTTTACTACGAACAATAAGCAGCAGCCAGAGTAGATAGTGGAAACACCAGATTGGTTTGGGTGCAGAAAGGAGTATGACGGGGCTGCATTTTTTCCCATTCCTTTTTTATATGTAGGCCTATGCTGAAAATATTATGAGAAATGCAGTAAGTGAAGAGGCCTGTGTCAGCTCCAGTCCACTCAATATTAGCGGTAGACCTATACCAGAACACAGGTAAGCGGATGATACAGTTCTACCTTCCAAAAGTGTAAAAGGCTTAGAAAAATTAATTGACTGTCAAAAAACACTTAAGAAAAGAATATTTTTTTAGTCTGAAAAAAAAGGGGGAAAATAATGTCCACATTAAATACAGCACACCACTCACGTATTAAAATCAACAACGTAGTAGAGATTGAAAATGTCACAGATTTTGAATATTTAAGATCTGTGTGGTTCCCAGTTGTTACCTAACATATTGTTAATTGTTTTATTTGAAGATTGAAAGGCAGGTTTGCACCAGTTTTGTGGGAGGAGATGGCACAGTTACAGAAGTTTGCAAAATCAGAGGGTTTCAGGCATGAGATAGAGATGTGGGACATTAGCTACTGGCAGAGGCGTCATAGGGATCATCTATATGGGTAAGTTATATTTTGTTAACCACTGGCAGAGGTGTTATAGGGATCTTTTTTATGGGCAAGTTATATTTTATTATCTGCTGGCAAAAGGGTTGTAAGGATCATCTGTATGGATAAGTTATATTTTGTTATCTGCTGGCAGAGGTGTTATAGGGTTCATTTGTATGGGTAAATTATATTTTGTTAGCTAGCTACTGTGGCAGAGGTGTCATAGGGATCTTTTGTATGGGTGAATTATATTTTGTTAGCTACTGTGGCAGAGGTGTCATAGGGATCTTTTGTATGGGTGAATTATATTTTGTTAGCTACTGTGGCAGAGGTGTCATAGGGATCTTTTGTATGGGTAAAGTATATTTTGTTAGCTACTGTGGCAGAGGTGTCATAGGGATCTTTTGTATGGGTAAAGTATATTTTGTTAGCTACTGGCAGAGGTGTCATAGGGATCTTTTGTATGGGTGAATTATATTTTGTTAGCTACTGTGGCAGAGGTGTCTTAGGGATCTTTTGTATGGGTAAATTATATTTTGTTAGCTATTGGCAGAGGTGTCATAGGGATCTTTTGTATGGGTAAAGTATATTTTGTTAGCTACTGGCAGAGGTGTCGTAGGGATCTTTTGTATGGGTAAAGTATATTTTGTTAGCTACTGGCAGAGGTGTCATAGGGATCTTTTGTATGGGTGAATTATATTTTGTTAGCTACTGGCAGAGGTGTCGTAGGGATCTTTTGTATGGGTAAAGTATATTTTGTTAGCTACTGGCAGAGGTGTCATAGGGATCTTTTGTATGGGTAAGTTGTTTATTTTATTAGCTGCTGGCATAGAAGCTATAGAGATAATTGTATGGGTAAAGTATATTTTGTTAGCTACTGGCAGAGGTGTCATAGGGATCTTTTGTATGGGTAAAGTATATTTTGTTAGCTACTGGCAGAAGTGTCATAGGGATCATCTATATGGGTAAGTTATATTTTGTTAACCACTGGCAGAGGTGATATAGGGATCTTTTTTATGGGCAAGTTATATTTTATTATCTGCTGGCAAAAGGGTTGTAAGGATCATCTGTATGGATAAGTTATATTTTGTTATCTGCTGGCAGAGGTGTTATAGGGATCATTTGTATGGGTAAAGTATATTTTGTTAGCTACTGTTGCAGAGGTGTCATAGGGATCTTTTGTATGGGTAAAGTATATTTTGTTAGCTACTGTGGCAGAGGTGTCATAGGGATCTTTTGTATGGGTAATATTTTGTTAGCTACTGGCAGATGTGTCATAGGGATCTTTTGTATGGGTGAATTATATTTTGTTAGCTACTGGCAGAGGTGTCATAGGGATCTTTTGTATGGGTAAAGTATATTTTGTTAGCTACTGGCAGAGGTGTCATAGGGATCTTTTGTATGGGTAAGTTGTTTATTTTATTAGCTGCTGACGTAGAAGCTATAGAGATAATTGTATGGGTGAGTTTAAAAAAATAAAATAAATTAGAAACTGGTAGAGGTTTCCTGAACATTTGCGTAGGTGCATACTATACTACTGTTGTTGGCTATGCTTCTTGTGAACAAGCTACTATAGCAGGTGAGTAAAGTGACTCTCATGGGTAACTGGACCCAACCTGAAGAGACAGTTTTGTGGTTTCTCCTGGCAGAAGACTCAACCCTAGTGTTCACATACATGCACATATTTACAAACACACATTTATTAGGAATTCAAAGCTTTTTTTTGGATATGGATATGAGTGTGAATGGGATCTATCTCTCTCTCTCTCTCTCTCCTCTCTCTCAATTCACACATACTCACATGTGCATGCATAGAAAAAGGAGGGAGGAGGAGTCCTTTAACTCTTTGAGTCCCTGGGGGTTTAGCATCACAGGCCCAGGGGGTCGTAAAAAAAGTAATAAAATCGGTGCATCATGCGTTCATTGGGCTTCTAGGTAGGAACCTATGAACGTATGATGCGTTCCTTGGGACTCAAAGAGTTTATGCAAATATAGTGTTTTGTAATTTAAGGAGTTACTATTGATACTCATTCTTAACATTTCCTGTGTGGGTTTCGGGTCCTCAATGTGGGGAAATCAAGAATGGTCCCACTGCCTACCCAAAAGCATGTCCTAAGAGTCGACTAATTGAGAGCTTCCTCAAAGTCAGAGTGCATCTGCCTCAGAGGCAGGGAACCAACAGTCTGTATACACATGAATCAGATCTGCAAAACGGATGTGTGTGCAACACTCAGGCTCTGGAACAGGACAAGAGTCCAGAAGTGGGTGAATAACCAGAACTTTCCGCCAGAGTTTACAGCCTGTGAAGGCGAAATAAGAAGGAGAAGATTCTCAACATCTGGTTACTGTCAGTATATATTTTTAGAGTTCTGATTGAGGGTCTGTGCCTTATTGGGGGTTCGAAGGCAGAAGAAGAAAACACTCTTTTATAATATTTTATTGCCCGGCTCTCTAGCGAAGTTGGTTAAACCTGACGTTCGCGGCGGCCGGGTGACGAACTCCTTGTGGTCCGGGTTCACTCCCGGGGGTAGGCAGAAAAGCCACATTTCTCCCAGATTAACGGTACCTATAATGGAATCAAGGCCGAAGGGTTGCGATATCCATAGTACCGAGCCAAAGGGTTTACAACTCATGGTTTCTGGATACGTTTAAAAAAAAAAAAAAAAAAAAAAAAATTTTATTAACTGTTGGTATTTTGCTTTGATTCATTTTTGACTTGTCCCTCCAGAAATGACAAGGACAAAGTATCGGAGTACTTCCCAGTTAATACTGTACTGTTGGGACTGTTCGACCTTTGCACCAAGCTTTTTGGTGTTAATTTTGAGGTAAGGATTCGTCAAGTTCACAGGGAACATCTTTTCTTCCACCTTTTATTCACCAGTGGAACATAGACCCCAGTAAGCTCCAGGTTTTATTCCCGTGTCCATCAGTCTAGACCAGGGCTATTCAACTAAGCTGGTTCAGGGGCCAAAATGTTCAAAAACGGGGATCGTCACGGGCCAGAGGTCTTAGCCCCAGCTTATAAAGATCGAAAATAAAATACAGCTAGAAGTGTTCCGCGAGCCACTGGCTAGGCCTTGGCGGGACAGATTTGGCCCACGGGCCGCAAGTTGTATAGCCCTGGTCTAGACAGTAAGAGGGAGTCAAACCCTTTGCTGTATTCGCCTTCACGATTTGTGCTGCACATGTAATTAATAACTAGGCTTCTGTCCAGTACAGGGTGGGCCGCCAGCCATAGCAACTGCAGTATCTGCAAAATAATCTGCACGCTCCTTGCCTGGAACACCCACGTCACCCGCACAAAGATAAAAGTTAGGCCAGTCATTCGTGAAGTGCTTAGTGGCCCAATCCATTGTTGTCTGATAAATCCAGCTCAAATTTTCTTAAGCATATTCATTGAGTGACTAAGTGTCTATTAGACAACATCAGAGCCCTCTATGAAAAAAGTGAAAGTGCAGTAAGAACATCTAGTGGTCTTTCTGAATGGTTCAAAGTCACAACTGGTGTCAGACAAGGATGTGTACTGTCACCATTACTTTTCATAACATACATGGATAAGATCACTGTAGAAGCAAACCCAGACGTGTATGCTATAAACGAATTACTTTTTGCTGATGATCAAAGCATACTGTATCAAAATGAATATGATCTACAGGAACATCTGACTACTCTCAACAACAGCTGTTTACAACATAATATGAGAATCAGTACAGAAAAAACAGAAGTTATGAAGATCAGCAGAACACACAGGCCACTGAATATAAATGTTGGAAGTGCCAAAATCAAGCAAACCAAAGAGTTCAAATACTTGGGCAGTATATTTACAGAGGATGGAAGAATGGACAGAGAGATAGAAACAAGAATACAGAAAGCAAATGCTGTCACATACCAACTATCACCTCTGCTTAAACATCCAGATATAACCATGAAGACCAAAAGACAATTGATAAACACCATCTTCATTCCAACACTCTGCTACCAGTGCCAAACATGGACAATCAACAAGACCCATGAAAGAAAAATAGAAGCCTGTGAAATGAAATGTCTAAGAAAAGCAGCGAATAAGACCAGACTAGACAGGATAAAGAATATAGACATTAGAAACACTGTCAAAACTACGCCATGTTTAGACTATATAGAACATCAAAGAATGAAATGGTTTGGACATCTAACCAGGATGAAAAATGATCAAATAACATCACAAATTTTCAACCAAAGAAGCTCAGGATATAAGGCAAGAGGAAGACCAAGGAAACGGTGAATTGACGGGGTCTCCGAAACCTGCCGAAAGCATGGCCTCAGAACATCAGATGCTGCCCGCCTTGCTTATGACAGGAACTTGCATCTCCCCACAACGCTTAGCGGCATACGTGGAAGGAAAAAGTAAGTAGACTAAGTGTGAACTCTTGAGTATCACAAGCATGTCTCCGTTTTAATGATCTTGATCATGATCCTAGAAAAGATCACATTTCTGTCACTGCCAGGAAATCTTGTTCAGGAGACTATGACTCATCTTCCTAGGAAAACCACCTCATTCATTATTGAGGCATTTTTAACCTAGCCAGAATGAATATTCAGTATTCTTTTATCTAATATGTTTGAGTCATTGATGTGTGTTTTTATTTCTCTTCCTACACTAGATTTCCACATTTCTGTTTAAAGAAAGTAGAAACTTTATTAGTTTCCTCCATCTTTTAGGGTCACTTTTTTCTTGCTCTTTGTTTCTGCTGTAAATTATTTCTCACGTATGAGATTGTATTCATGATTTAAAACTGCTGTGGAAAGGATTTAAAATGAAGCTGGCCTGGACGTCCAGTTTCTGTTCGTTATGATGAACTCATTATCCTTGCGTTCGTTTTGGGGCTCCATTATGCAGGGGAAGGGGGGGGGGGAATAGACCCACTCCCCCCTCCCAAACAAGCATGTCATAAAAGACGACTAATTAGAAGTGTTTTACTCAAAATTGGAGTACATCTGCCAGAGAGGCAACGAACCAGCAGTCTGCATATAAATAAGCCACACCTGTAAAATGAATGTGCATGTAAAACTCAAATTCTTGAACAAGACCAAAGTCCAGAAGTAGGCGGACAACCAGAACTTTCTGCTGGAGTTTACGGCTAGTGAAGAGATTCAACCTTTTACCAAAGTCAGAGAGCAGATAGGCAAAGCTGATGCCTAACTGTTAGCATGATGATGATGTTGAATTTGATAACTGTTGATCCCTGTAAATTTATCTTATCAATTCAACTGTCTCAGGATCACTTTTCGGAGTTTAAAATAGAATTATTGTTAACCCTCTTAGCACGGACGGGCCGATTATCGGCCGGCGGATGTCTTGCCAAAAACACGGAACGGCCGATGATCGGCCCGATCGTGTTTCGCCTCGAACCGCTAAGAAATCTCCTACTTTGAAACACTGAAAGTGATTCATTTATATTAACTGCGGTATCAGCTTTACACATGGCGACTTTCGAGTGTTTGGTATCGAAGTGAAAATTGTTGTTGAATTTTTTAGATAGTGACCTGAACCGCTAAAAGTATGTCTGACTCGTATGTTTCTGCCCCTAAACTTTATGTTGATAAAACATTTGAATCAAGTGTTGACACTAATTCTGTTGATACTGATGCATAATTTAGTGTTAGTAGTTATAGTGGGAATCAGATGAGGACGCTGTTGTGTTCAGACCACAGCCCAACCATGGCTCAGGGTATATCCACCCGAAGGTGTTGACACTCCGGCACATCCATTTATAGTGCTGACTGATGGTGAAAAACACATGTCACCTAAAGATATTATTGCTGTTTCACATATATATACATGTTTTTGACTATTGAATTGCTTACAACATTTGTAAAAAGGCCAAAGATCAATAAAAAGATTTCAAATAAAAAAAAATTTTGTTTTTAGTTTTATGTTTCAAGCATTGAAGTTGAAAATTCAAATTCATATTTTCTATTTTTAGATATGCAAATGAGATAATTTGCATATACATCAATTAATTTTAACGATATTGTGAAAATCACGAACTTCAATCTATATCCTTCAAATAGATATATTATTTCATAGGGGTCAGAATAACAGAAATCTGTCAAAAAAATTAAATAAAGTAATAACCAAATTCACTGAAAAAATGCTCCGTGTTTTTGGCTAGACCTCTGAAAAACTTCCCGTGCTAAAAGGGTTAACCCTGAACTCCATGCTGCATACGCCACTACGCAACTTTCACTAGCTAAAACTAAAAAAATTAGCGGGTTACTTGCCGTCTGCTGACTTGGTGGCGTTAACAGCTTTGCCAGATCAGATGAATAGTGTCTGTTTGGATGACAAACTTTGCTTCATGGATGAATTTTTGTTGAGGTCAATAATAAATTTTGTCTCATTATTTAATTGTCAAACTGTATTATATAACGAATTGATACATTCTGCTGCAGAACAAAAGTTTTGAAGATGTTTGATCAGGCATGCACATAATGATGATTTTAATGATACATTCTGTTTAATTTCAGAACATAGCAGACTTGTAAGTGAATTTGGGAAAATTCTCATAATCTGTTGTTTCACTAGCTCATAGAATAATTAATTCCTAATACATCCAAACAGGAAATCACCCCAGAAGTTGATGTGTGGCATTCGGATGTCAGAGTATTCAATATCATGGATTCAGACGGTTAGTTTAGGATTATATTATGTCAAGAGTGCACATTAATTATTTATGTTTAACTAACCAGTCTATGAAGACTCATTGTAAGAATAAAGTAAAAGATCTATTGGCTTGGCTTGGCTTGGCTTTTTTACCCCACCAGGACATCACACAAGCGATAAACACCCGATGACACAAAGTGCCACCATGCGGATGAGGATCACCGTGGAGAGGTCCCAGAAACCGCGTTCAGACATTTGGCCATAATGATGACCTGCCTATATTGCGGCCCCTGGCAAAAGCCAGAGTGGGGCTTCAAATAACAAAAAATAACGTCCTAAGAAGGACGTAAGGAAATGAGAAAACAAAGATCTATTTTCCTGCTATGAGCCATACATCTTTATGGTTTTGAAAAATTTATTGTTTACAATATTTTCTTTTGAATTTGTTTAAAATTCATTTACCTGACCCTTTCTCTGGCTCACATGGCATGCACACGCCTATATATAAATATATATATATATATATATATATATATATATATATATGCACACACACACGCATGCATGCACATACTCTCTCTCTTTCACACACACACACACACACACACACACCCCAAGCTACTTTCTCCCCTTTTCTAAGCTGTTTTATCTGTAATTTAGTAGCAGTAAAGTTGAGAATTGGATATTGAGAAAACATTGATCCTAGACTTCTGTCCATCCTCGGCAGAAATTTTCACTGCTTGAGAAAGAAGCACACTCCTGGCGGACTTTGTACAGAGTTAGCCAACAAAATGTAGACTCAGTAATCACCCAGCAGTGAAATGCGTAAATATTTTTGTAGTGGCTATTTGTTTTAAAACATCATTATTACATGACATATTCCGCCATATTTAGATTGAATTGTGGTAGCTATATGTTGTATTATGGTTATGAAAGGAGGCTAATGGGAATTACTGAGCAACTGTAGTAACTGTATACATCACATATATAACTTGTATGCGTCTCTCATCATCATCATGTAGCAGGTCCTTTGCAGAATGTCGCTGTCATCACGATCTGCCTAAAAGAAACTCGGTCTCTCTCCATCTCTCCTCCCTAGTGTACTTTCATATTTAAGGTCACTTATATCCTGTACCCATCTTCGTGTTGGTCGGCCCCTGTCCCTCCTTCCTGGTACCATGCCTTCTGCTATTATTTTTTTCCAATCCGCCATGGCGCATCTCTTCATGTCTGAATAAATTTAGTATCAAAATGTTTGTACAGGTTTTTTTTTTAAAACTCCAAGCAACACATTGCTACTAGAATGTATTCAGAGACTGCAGATGTAAATACATTTCACTGCTACATGATTACTGTCTGTGTTTACATATTTTGTTTGTTTGGCTTACTCTGTATACTACACTGGCTTTCAGTCCAGTATGATGGAAAAACAGGCAGACTGTTATAATCATGGTGTGGTCTTTGCTTCTGGCCATGGTTTGCTATTTAATTTTCTTCCTATTACGGACTGAAAATACATAGTTCCGTCGCCCACCTACTGGAGATGAATGCATGGTGCAACACTCTGAGCTGTGCATTTCGTATCGAGTGCATTTCAACTGTGCCAGAGTTGGTTTTTATTTCGAGAGCTGCAAATTTAGAAAATGTCACAACTAATGATTTATTGTAACTGCTACTTCTATCAATGATGAACTGTAATTCTGTAATTGGTTTTGCCAAGACTGTGGTTCATTTCAATTTTTTAAACTAAGGATAGTTGCAGGCATTCTGAGTATTTCTCAGTGGCACAGGAACAGAGTAATTATGGAATGATCCCTGAACTGGCAGCTGGGATGGAATGACTGTGTATAGTACACTACCGTTCCATTCTTCACTGAATTCCAAAAACAGCTTGATGATCTGGACTTCGCTGATATTTCTCTTCTGTCCCATTCACGGAATCAGATGCAAGATAAATTAAATATACTTGATGCGAGATCACAGCAGCTTGGTCTGAAAATCCATAAAGGAAAGACAAAGATAATGAGAATAAATCAGACAAATAGTAATGTGTTTTCTCTCAATGGCACCCCACTCCATTTTTGGGCAGTAATGTAGACAAAGAGGGGGGAACTGATAGAGATATTAAAATATGAATACAAAAAGCAAGAGGAGCTTTCTGAGCACTAGGGAATTTGTAGAGGTCAAAAGATATTAAAAGAAATACTTAACTTAAAATTTGTAATTCTAATGTCAAATCCGTACTTTTGTATGGTCCGGAAACATGCAGAACAACTAAGGCAATTACTAATAAACTACAGACATTCATTAACTGGTGCTTGCGCAAAATAGAGGGAATAAAATGGTATGATAGAATAACTAATGTAGAGCTTTGGGAGAGAACTAAGCAAGCTCCAGAGGATCAGGAGGGGAAGAAAAGATGCAGGTGTTGGATAGGACACACGTTGAGAAAACTGGAGAACAATATAACTAGAATGTCTTTGCACTGAAACCCACAGGAACATAGAAATAAAGGAAGGCCAAAAAACACATGGAGAAGGGAGCTGGAAAATGAAGTTATAAAGATGGGGAGAGCTGCATGCGATAGCAAAAGATAGAATGACTTGGAGTGAGTTGGTTGAGGGCCTATGCTCCATTCGGGGCTAGAAAAGCAGAATAAAGTACACTATCAGCTTATGTACTTGATAATTTGTTCAGCATAATTTCACATTGAGAAATAACTAATGCATGTTTTTACTTTCAGGACGACATTTAAGCTCTTTTTACTTTGATCCTTTTGCTCGACCAGAAAAGAACACATCGGTATACATGGATATGGGAAGAGGTGGGTGCATTTTCTTCAGTAAATGGCAGATTTTGGAAGTGAGCGCATTTGTACTAGTAATAAGCCGTTATACTTACTAGTTGTTTTAAGTTTAATTATAAATATTTTTTTAAACTCTTTATTAGACACAACGAACAAGACATTTTATTTTTATTAAGCAGTTTGTATGTCTACCTTAAAAATCTAAATAATATTTAAACACACTCATTGAGTTGTAGATTTAGAACACACTAACAAATATTGACCAAAATGCGTCTCAGTACTTTCTGTTTTCCTTGTTGTAGAATCTATCGTCTTTCCCTTTTTAATCGCGTTTTGTTATGTTGTGGAAAGGGGAGGAGAGGCTTGCCATATTCTCAAAGGGGGGGGGGGGGGGGGGGCTGTGTTTATCTTGCAATAAACTAAAAAAAAGGAGGGGGGGGAGGCTTGCCATTTTCTCACAAAGGGGGGGGGGGGGAGCTGTGTTTATCTTGCAATAAACTAAAAAATAAAAGAGGGAGTGGGAGGGCGTGAGGTCTTGCCATATATTCAAGTGTAGCGTGAGGATCTTGCAATAAACTCAAAGGGAGGTGTGGAGATTTTTCCCATATACTTGGTGGGGGTGTCAGGATCTTGCGTAGCTGGACTATTTTAAAAAATAACCTTGGCTTCTAGGTCGACCCAGCCTTGAGTGGGTACCGGGTGCAGTCCCGGGAAGTAAAGGCGGCTGGTGTGATGCTGACCACATCACCCATCTTGTGCCAATTGGTCTATAAAATATAGGTCTAGCTCTATATATGCCCTATACGCCTGAAGGCGTGATAAAGAGTCCTTTACTTTACTTTACAAAGAGAATGAGAAGAAGTTAATAAGAACATATTAAAGTAATTATTTTCACCAAAAAAGAAAGAATGCCTTATGTCTTTATATAAATAATGAGAACTAATGATTCTTCTATCACAATACAATAGGCAAACTTAGGAAGTTGCAGTGACAAGCCTTTTCACAAGACAACCAGAAGAAACTGACAGCGAGCATTCATTCTTTTTGGCTAAGATCAAAATGCCAGATTTTTCACTTAGTTGCAAACAAAATGAAGTAAAAAAAAAAATTTGGTGTTTGTTCCTGTTGGCTCAGCATCCGTTATGTGGCTATAGAGTCATTAGAATGCCGTGTCGACATTTGCAGGGGCAGACGTAGACAAAATGTCTGAATTAAATTGCTGTTTCAATTATGACTACATTCAGCAGATACTTCAATTGTGTATTCTTTTGTAATGACTGTAAATGACATGTTACTTAATGATTGTTCCATGTTTTGTACCATCTTGACAATTATAAAATCATGTTAATTCTCCTTACTTGCAGATCGCAGCGATTTACTTGGTACCTGGCCATATTCATACATGTCACTAAATATTCCCCGCCCTCCATCAGCATCAGACCCAGCTCTCATGAGGTTTGAGGATGTTCAGAATCTGTTTCAAGAGGTATTAATTTCGTACACTTAATCTTTTTCTATGTTCACCCTCAGAAGGGTGGTTGGCATGATGTAGTTTACAGCTAAGCTGTACCTGTGCCTTTTGGATTAACTCATCAGATTTCAACAAAGTCTACTTGGTCACTTTTTACATCACGCTTATTAGGAGTCAGCAAGTCTGTTCTTTTCCCCCTTAAAATGGGGCACTGGAGCCTACATGGGATATATATATATAGTTGTCATTGTCAGTATATGGTTGTTTGTATGTGTGTGTGTGTGTGTGTGTACAGACTCCATTAAAATGTATACACACTTAACTCTTTCAGGACCAAATTTTTTCTGGGGTTGGACTGCATTAATTTTGAGTGGAATTTTTTTTTACTGCAACATGACAGAGTTAAAGCCTTCCTGATGACAAAATATTGGCTGTATAGGGACATGTAATCAATCAAATTAAAGAGAAATGAGTGCAGAATAAATCTAAACTATTTGAGTGTTAGTATTACAACAAAATATTATTAAAATCACACAACATCCAAGGATGTTAGACAAATATGAAGATTTAAAAAAAAATGTTGTGCTTACCTTACTTTTTACTTGTTCAGCAGCACTGCTATCCAATTCTAAGAATGCACCTGCCTTCTCTGTTCAATGATGAATTAGCTAGTCTTTATTTTAAACAATTAATATAAATACTATGGATGTTATGATCAATTTTGTATGACATGGGATATTTCACAATCGGGAAATCAGCTGTTTGAAACAGAGATTATCTGACTGAAATATGTCCTTCATCGTCATCCTAACCCAGATTATCAAAAATAGGTTTGTCACTTGCATTTAGTCATAATATCCAGACTGTCGTCACTACCTGGCTGAGATTCATCGATGACAGAGCAGGATGAACAGTTCTAGACCTTTTCCCTTGTCATTTGGTATAGAAAAATCATGTACAAATATGTTGTATCACATCTAAATAATTTTTTAAAAATCAGAAAGTGATGCAAATACCCTGCTGATTTTCAAAAACGAAAGGACATAATTTCACTAATTCTCGTTTTTCAAAACATATTTATACATACAAATTTGTTTTCCTAGCAGACCAAACAGTATTAGCCTGTCTCTATCAACGCCACTTTAATGGCGATTAGGCCTAGCAGGATTTATTTAAATGCCATTTAACTGGAGATAAAACCACAAAGAGTTACACAGAGCTAATCTGCGGACTTCTTTCTAAAATTAATTTGATTACTGTAGCATTGTGTAGTACAGTTTTCTCTCGAAAGGTGTCATTACTAAAATTTTACATAAATGCCACCATCTACACATGACCAGCATGAAAAATTAAAAAAAAAAAAAAACATGGCTGAAGCACAGTTGAAGAATAGAATGGTAATTCTTCATCGTTTGTCTGAGTAATATAAAGGCATTGTGCCTCTTTATAGTGTAGCTACAATATTTTGTGTCTTTCAGCCGATATGTCCGACTTCTTAGGACCAATATTATCTGGTTTTAGCCTCCTGGTTAGTTTTATACCACATTTCTAGCCTCATATGTATGGTCAGTGGTAATTCAAGTTTGAGAATGTTGTTAAGTTCAGTGGCATTGGAAGCAGAAGTCTGCAACACAGTCTTCAAACCCCTGACGATTGCACATATTCATGGTAAATTAGAAACTCTTCACATTCGACGTCATTGCACACTCTGCATGTCCTATACAGGTTCAGTTCTCTGATGCAGCAGCCAATTCAAAATGGTCATAACATTCAAAGTATTTAAATTAATTGTTTCAAAGAAAGACTAGCTGATACATAATTGATTGTTCCCATGATTTATGTCTACTACCTCAGCCGCAAAGGTGGCCTAGATGTGATTCCCCATGTTTTACTTCCAGATCATATAATTGTGTTAGGTTAGAGTCAGATATTGGTCACTATGCACTAGCCCAGTCCTTCCAGCATTGATGATATCGGCTCTGTCCATGTTTCTTCCCGCCTGTATTGGTGCATTGCTTGCCAGTTGGTCTGCTCACTCATGACCTTTTATGCCAGCGTGACATGTGTAGATCCAGGATTTCTTCTCCTTCTTCTTTGCGTTAACTGGCTGTAAACTCTGGTGGAAAGTTCTGGTTGTTCTTCACTTCTGGACTGCAGTCCTATTCCAGAACCGCAGTGTTGTGTGTGCATCTGTTTGACAGATCTGACACATTTGTGTGCAGAACATTTGTGTGCAGACTGTTGGTTCCTTGTCTCTCAGGCAGATGCACTCTGACTTCGAAGGAAGCTCCCAATTAGTTGACGCTTACGACATGCTTTTGGGTAGGCAGTGGGTCTATTCTTGTTTTCTCCATAGTAGGGCCCTGGAACCCACACTTGAGTAGATACAGGATTTTAAACTCCTTGTACTCTGGGTGTCATGTGCATAAAGAAACATTTGTGAGACTCTCATAGCAATTCTTGCTGTTCCTAATATGGTCTCGGAGCAGTGTTTAGAGGCTTACCTGCTGGTCTGAAGATCTTGGGTTCAAATATGCGATTAAGAGGGATTTTTTAAAATTATTTACCTTGGCTGCCAGATCAACCCAGGCCTAAATGGGTACCAGGAAATATTCTGGGAAGTAAAGGCAACCAACATGATGTTGACCATATAACCAGTGGTGGGTCCACTGTTCTATAAAAATATTAGTTTTTCCCTGTATGTCAAATGTGTCACTGACATCAAAAGGGTCCTTTACTTTGTTTAATTGCTAAATGGGCAAAGGTGAAAGTTGAAGTGACATAATTCAAAGATACAAGCCCTGCCTGTTTGTACTTACCTTAAAATGTTGTAATTCTTCAGTTTGGCAATGGACTGCAGCAGTTGCTGACCACAGTTCCCTATAGTGAGATTGCAGGCCAGAAGAACATTGAATGGGATGCCGTGAGGGTGTGCTCCAAGTTCCTGCGGCAGTGGCTAACAGAACCCCAGGTGATCAAGTCTGTGAGCGGCCACTACCAGACTGGTCAGGTTATACCTGATGACTTGCTGGCTAGAATTTTGGGAGGTAAGTTTAGAATATTTCTTTTACTAAAAGTTTTTTTTCCGGTGTGGGTTCCGGGATCCTGGTGATGGGGGGGAGGGGAATAGACATTCCTAACAAGAGTGTCATAAGAATAAACTAATTGCAGGTTTCCTTTGAAATCAGCATACATCAGCCTGAAATGCAAGGAACCAACAGTCTGCATACAAATAAGCCAGATCTGTAAAATGGATGTGCATGAAAAACTCAAATTCTGGAACAATACTTAAGTCCAGAGTTTATAGCTGGTGAATGAGAAGAAGACAAGATCACCAGTTAAGTGCTGTTATGTCAGTCTTTAAAAAATACAGGACTTGAGCCAAATTATAGTGGGTAGACCCACTGCCTCATGATAAGCATGTCATAAAAGCAATTAATTAGAGGTTTGCTCAAATTTGATGTGTTGCGCCAAAAGGCACAGATATCAGAGCCTAGCTGCACACCACAACACAGTGTGCAAACCGCCCTTTTAAGGGAGGATGCAGAAGAAGAAGATACTAATGTAGGAATGGGAGGTGTCAGGCCTTCACATATACTAGGTGACTAGCTCCATTTCTTACCATGATTTTTGTTTTTCACTTTCCATACACTTAGTCCTGCCACCACAGGGGATTTAACCTAGACTTTGTTAGTGTGCAAGCACACTATCTACTGTGCCACGTTGACATCCCAGATAAATGTAAGCATGTTTACAATTGTGTCCACAGCAAACAATTACTCATACAACCTTGACATGATGTACCAGCTGTTAGTGTCTGCATTTGATATGGAAATATACATGACGTAAGTCGATATCTACTGAGTTTTATGATAGTGACCAGTTTTATTAGTGATCACATAGTTTTGTGATTAGTAACCACAGAGTTTTATGAGTTACCTCATTGTTTTATGTTGCAATGATGTACCGGTTAGTTTTGGCATTTGATATGGAAATATAGATGTAATAAATATCTTCTGAGTTTTATGAGTGATCACATAGTTTTATGGTAAATGACAAAATAGTTTATAGTGTGTGACTACATGGTTTTATGGTGAGTGACAACATAGTTTTATGGTGAGTGACCACATAGTTTTATGGTGAGTGACCACATATTTTTGTGATGAGTAACCAAAGTTTTGTGATGAGTGACCACATAGTTTTGTGATGAGTGACCACATAGTTTTATGATGAGTGACCACATAGTTTTGTAATGAGTGACCACATAGTTTTATGATCAGTGACCACATATTTTTGTAATGAGTGACCACATTGTTTTGTGATGAGGGAACACATAGTTTTGTGATGAGTGACCACATAGTTTTGTGATGAGTGACCACATAGTTTTGTGATGAGTGACCACATTGTTTTGTGATGAGGGAACACATAGTTTTGTGATGAGTGACCACATTGTTTTGTGATGAGGGAACACATAGTTTTATGAGGAGTGACCACACAGATGAGTGACCACATATTTTTATAATGAATGATTACTTAGTTTTATGATGAGTGACCACTTCATATTGTGATGAGTTTTATGAGCGACCACATAATATTTTGAAGAGTGACCACCGAGATGAGTGACCACCGAGATGAGTGACCACACAGTTTTATGATGTGCCCACGTAGTTGTGTATTGAGTGACCACAAAGTTTTACGATGAGTAACCACATAGTTTTGTGAATTACATTATAGTTTGTGATGAGTGACCATATCATTGTATAAGGAATGATCACATAGCAGTATGACAGATGACCAGTTTTATGAAGAGCAACCAAATACGTTTTATAAGGAGTGACTGCATCATTTTACTCTTAGTGACTACATAGTTGAAGTCCACCGGCCATATATTTGAGCTTCCCAGGTATTGAGTTTGTCACTTCTGACAGACACGTCTTTAATAGGTTCCTTGTTTCTCTGTCTAGGAAGACCCACTGGAAGACTATCATGAGCCAGTTGTGGGAGACCTTTATACCGATTCCATTCAATGAAAAGGATTGTCTCCCTTGTTCCATGGTTTCCATCTTCTGTGAGCTGTACCCTGCAGCTTATTATTCCCATAAATGGTCTGAGGTAAGCAGTTTATGTTCGCCTGACTAGATTACATCTAAACTGGTCCCCATTTGGCTTCCCTCATTGTGGGGAAAAAACAAGAATAAACCCACTGCCTCCCCAACAATCATGCTGTAAGAGTCAACTAATTAGGGGCTTCCTTCGAAGTCTAATGTCCTTAGGTGGATAAACATTCAGAACTTTGCACTGGAGTGCACAGTTGGTGAACACAAAAGAAGAAGAGATCTGCATTGAAATTCCACTGATAATGTCAAGTTGTTGCTGACTGAAAAATAAGCCATTGTCATACATGTGAACAATTAAATATCACATTGCTATGTATAAATATTGCTGTAGATCAGTGGTCTCCATCTTATTTCAGGAAGCGCACCCCTCCCCCTTGAGTATATGGCAAGACCACCTATCCTCCCCCCCCCCCCCCCCCCCCCCCGGGCCCACACATTTTTCTTTAAAAAGAGCACCAAAATAAACCCAAGTACTTTTAACAAGAACTTGAGAAAAACCTCCAAATAAATTAAAGTGTCAAATGACAAAAGAAACAGTCACCAACAACTGGTAATTTAGTGTCCAAGCATCAGTGTGATGGTTGACACTGTTTTGTGTTATCTGCTACTTTTGGTCTGATGTTGGACAAGCACAACGGAGATCACTCTCCACATTAGGCTGGCAACGCTGTTTTGTTTTCTTGGCTGTTGAAGCTGAAAATCTGGATTATTACAGGTACAGATGCACACAATTTCAAAATGAGCCAGCATATGTATGTGTGAGCTAGCATGTATGTGCTCTAGCATATGTGTGTGTGAGCTAGCATGTGTGTGAGTCAACCAGTGTGTGCTGGCATATGTGTATGTGAACCAGCATGTGTTTGTGTGAGCTAGCATGTATGTGCTCTAGCATATGTGGGTGTACTAGCATATGTGTGTGTGAGAGCTAGCATGTGTGTGTGTGTGAGCCAGCCAGTGTGTGCTGGCATATGTGTATGTGAACCAGCATGTGATTGTGTGAGCCAGTATTTCAATATGTGCTTGAGAGCCAGGATGTGTGTGCACTAGCATGTGTATGTGTGAACCACCATATGGGTGCGCTAGCATATGTGTGAGCCACCATGTTTATGTGCGTGAAAGCCAGGATGTGTGTGCACTAGCATGTGTGTATGTGAGCCAGCATTCTTGTGTAAAAGCCAGCATGCATGTGTGTGTGAAACCTAGTTAAATAAGTTACTTAGTTGTTTAGTTTGCTATATAGTTAATTAATTTATTGTTTAGTTTGTTGAATAGTTAGGTTAGTTAATTTATTGTCAGTTAATTTATTGTTTAGTTAAAATATTTATGACCATTCATGTATTTATGACAGATGGTTGCTGCTGACCTGTTTGCTGCCTTCAAAGAAGTTGGTCTTGACAATGAAAAGGATGTAAAAGAGCTTGGAAGAAGGTAATTTTGTTGTTGACATGTGTTTCCTGTAAAGTGTCTCAAACTTGTTACAGTTACATGGAATTGACCTGACAAAGTTTGTAATCTGTAAACCTAATAAATGGACTCCATGTCTTCAGATTTAATCAGTTTGTCTGTAATTAATCTTGTATTCTAAGGTCTTCTGTTTCTTAAGCACTGTTAGTTCCAGAGAGATTACTTTCTAGTTATACTGTTAACTAGTTTTCTGTATGTTTCCTTTCCAGCCTCAGTTTTGTGTGTGTATGTTTTTTCTTACCTCAGATGTTTCCTTTCCAGCCTCAGTTTTGTGTGTGTATGTTTTTTCTTACCTCAGATGTTTCCTTTCCAGCCTCAGTTTTGTGTGTGTATGTTTTTTCTTACCTCTTCATTTACTGGAAGTCGTTAACATTGCTCCATAATAAGCACCATAAACAATCCCTCTAAAATAAAAATATATTTGTATCCTGACCTCCTAAAAACTGTGCAGGCAAAAACACAACCAGTTGCATTAACTTGGTGTCTCATAAACATGACAGTGTAGAGAAATACCTGTTGAGTAGTATTTACATGGGGTTAGACCCTACTGGAAGTGCAGGATTTACCGCTTCCTGGGGCAAAAGGGTTAACTAATCTGTTTCAGCGACTAACCGGTTTAGTAACACCATTTACAGGGATTTGTAATGACTGGCAGTAGTTGATCAGCCGCTTTTTGGAAAGCAACAGGTTAATGTGTGTTTTAGTTTATTAGTTATTGTGTAAACCTAGTCGAAAATAATGATTTATTATTTTTCCTTTATTGTTTTTCAGTAACAAGACTTTTATTTGTCAATCTTAAACAGAATATCAGTAACAATGTTTGTATAGTAATCTGGCAGATTTGTTTGAATTTTCATATGGAATTTGTCTGTTGTGGAAAATACACCCCAGTATATCTTCTTCTTTATGTTCACTTGTTGTAAACTCCAGCAGAATGTTCTGGTTGTTCCTCCAACAACCAGCTTTAGTCCAACAAGACTTTTGTCTTGTTCTAGAACCCGAGTGTTGTATGCACATCCATTTGATAGATCTGCCTTTTTTGTATGCAGACTTTTGGTTCCTTGCCTCCCAGTCAGTGGACTCTTAAGTATGCTTGTTGGGGAAGTAGTGGGTCTGTTCTGGTTTCCCCACAAAGGGGGCAGGAACTTTCACTGGGAACCCCCGTATGTGATCTATATGGGGTCTTCATGATAAGTGCTTCTTCGTCTTCTTTTTCCTTGCATTAACTGGCTGTAAACTCTGGTAAAAAGTTCTGGTTGTTCATCCGGACTTTTAGTCTTGTTCCAAGAACCTGGGTGTGAAGTGATGTAAGCTTTTTGCCTTCCTCTGTGAAGGTTGCATGTTGAGTTTCATCAGACTCCATCATTCGATTTAAGTGCAAGAGTGCAAGTGGTTTAGAGATCTGTGAAGAGAGAGAAGAGAGTCATTGCTATAACTACAGTGTTTCATGTTTTATACAGAAGTGGATGAACAACCAGAACTTCCCTGTGTGTATGGCTAAGAAGGAGAAACATAATTTTTAATATATAATCTGTGATAAGCTCCTAGCCAACAGCTGACATTACACATGTGTTCAATATTTCAGGTTCCGAGACACCTACTTATCATTGGGAGGAGGCATTTCCGCAAGTGAAGTCTTTCGTAGGTTCAGAGGTCGTGATCCGTCCACCGAGGCTCTACAGCCAGTGACGTTTTCTTCTTGAGTGGAAATTCTGTTATGTTCTGTTGAGTTTTGATGTTATGTTCTGTTGAGTTTTTATTCATTCATGTACAGATGATGTATGCATGCATTGTAAATTTAGTGATGCAGTCTCTCTCCAGCTGACATTTCAACAGTCTGACTGGTCTAACCTGGACACTTTTAGGGAGTGATACTTTCAAGTACAGAACTAAACAGAGGGCCCTTTTCTCATTATGAGAAGCATTGGGTATGTGGTGCTAGTCTTATATTTTTAAAGACCAATCACTACTTTTTAGGTTATTTGGTCAGCACTATCTATGCTTTTCTAGACATTTCCTTGAAACCTAGGAGTGTAGAGATTTTTATTTTTTTTTATTTTACATTCACACTTTTTGTGTGAATTCAGACTTGTGGTCTTTTGGAGCAAGAGCAGATATGGTTAAAGTTGAAAGGATCGATTTCACAGCACTGGGCTTTTTCCCATATGGCTCGTATTTCTGCGCAGAATGGCTAGTCGTCTGCTGAAAGCCCCACACAGTGCACGAACTACGTAGCTCTGGTGACTATCATCAGGGATCGCCATAAAAATTGCAACCTGTGGTCAAAGCTCTTTGGGAGCAAGTGAATGATAATAAAGGCACAAATAGATCATTGGTCTGGAGAGAACAGTACAGCTAGCAGTGACCACCTATAGATTTGGTCAATATTCTAAACTCGGAGGAAAGGCAAGGAGGACATATAATCACCCTGCTGCTGGCGTCATCAGAACTGGAACTCTTCGCTAGCTGCTGAAGATGAGGATGGAGTTCTTAAGGGAATGTCCTGAGTGCTGTGATGTCAGTTCTTAGTTCAACACTCGATTTGTGGCCTTCAGGCCTAGTAGGCAAGTGTGGTAGTTGCCGCACCACTACTGTTCCTGATATTATAGCAGTCCTTGTTTTAAGTTTGGCCGACCTGGGAGCCCAGGTTAATTACAACAAAACTTTGTTAACATGAGCTCACTTAAGACGAACTTTGGATTAACATAAACAGGCTTTTCGTCCCAGCAGGGATGAGCTCTTGATTTTTCGGTCCCTAGGAATTCATACAAACGAGGTTATACTGTGTAAAATTCCACTTTGGTTGCTCATTTTAACCCAAGATCTTCGAGCTGGTGTGGAAAAACTTAACCACTGTGCCACCACCGCTCCCATAATAAATATAGGCAGTGAATGTAATGATCAAGATTTTAAACATTAGAGCCAGTGTTACAGTTATTTCTGCTCCCAGAATAGAGGCAGTAAATGTAATTATCTAGATTTTGAACAATAGAGCTAGTGTTACAATTATTATCGTTCCTAGAATGAACAAAGGCAGTGAATGTAATGATCAAATTTTTAAACAGAGCCAGTGTTACAATTATTACTGCTCCAAGAAAACATATTGGCAGAAATTAAGTGATCAAGTTTTTAGAACAGTAGAGCCAGTGTTACAATTATCATACCTCCCAGAATGAATATAGACAATTAATGTAATGATCAAAATTTTAAACAAAAGAGCCTTTGTTACAAGTATTACTGCTCCCAGAAAACAAAAGCAGTGAATGAAATCATCAAGATTTTAAACAATAGAGTTAGTGGTACAGGTATAAGTGAAGTATAGAATATGTAGTTTTTACTGAAGTCATCATCATCATAAGTCTTGTCAGATTATGTAGATTATTTAGACTTTTATTTAGGTCCATGTTGTTCTGTTAATTCCTACAAATGTATAAAGTCATATTTATATTATGATGTGACCTTTTTAACCTTCATGTTCAGTTTGACTAAACAAAATGACCAGCTTTGCTAAACATTGAATAAACAGATGCATTGAACAAGGGGAAGTAATATTGCTCTTGCGATTTGTCCAGAGATAGCATATTTTCCACATTTGGTGATTGTTGCATTTGCTTGTACATGACCTCCACAATTGTCAAATGTCCTGTTCTAGGATAGATCTACCTGGTTTGGGCAACTAGCTGAAGATGTGCAATACGGATGACAAACTGAATATCTGTGAACTTCTCAGCTTCATCCCTCAATGGAGCTTACGCTCTCAACTGTCTCATTGCAGGTCATCATATACTATGCCAATATGTGCAGCTCATATCACCCCAGTCTTTCATCTCTGTCTATTCTCAGTCTTCTTTGGTTTCCCTTTATTCCTGTGATCCTGTGCAAATCTCTGTGTTTTAATTGTTCCTTTTTTTTTTCTCTGCTGTTTATCCCTGAGTGGAGCATAGGTTGTCAAACAACTCACATCAAGTCATCCTATCATGTGCTGTCCTATGCAGCTCACCCTGCTCTTCCTCCATCTTTGTAACTTCACTTTTGCTTGTTGGTCTGCCTTAATTTCTATGCCCTTGTGGGTTCCAGTGGGAATATGTTCTAGTTATATTGTTATGTTTTGTATTTGGAAATTACTTTCTCGCCGTTGTGTTATTATATAACAGTTGGTCCAGTATTGTCCCTCAGTATTGTCTGTAATGCTGACTACAAACTCAAATATATGCCTGAGAGCGAGAGCGTGCATGCGTGTACGCGCGAGAGGGAGATTAAAAGAAGAAACACTCAGAACCACAAAACAAAGAAACCATGACTATTATGGGAAAAAACATTACAAATATAGCAGGAAAGAGGACTGTTTCAGATAAACTGGTGGAGGGCTTTTGCCCCCATGTAGGAATAAACGGTAGAAGAAAAAGACATTGTTACAGATAAATTATTGTAAATATTCATGCTGCATGACTTGTTTATTCTAAACAGCCTCATCTGAATGTCAAGCCATTAAACCACAGAACTGCTTATGCTAATGATCCAATATTACAAGTGACAAGCTGATATTGTTCCTAATGTTATGTAAAGAGCCTTTTTTCCCCCAGTCATCAGTCCCCTTTCCCTGGGTTATTTAGGAATAAGAGTGCTGTTTAAATTGTTGTGTCTACGTTTTTCAATGTAGCCGATACAGTTGTTAGCTGAATTTGGATGTTGAATTTTTTTTAGAACTGGTTTTTACATATAAGCTAAAAGATAATCACCATCATATAACAGGTCCCTTATGTGTGTTCATAATGTGAAGATAGTGGTTGAGCCTCTGTATCTGTCGCATGTCCTAGCAAACATCTGTTAGTAATTTCAGTTACTGGTGTGTTGTGTGTCTTGCTGAGAAGCTTTTTTACTCCTGTCACTGGGGAAGATGAAACTGATTTTGCTCACCTTGCTTAACTCTATCCGTTCCAAGGAACGCATCATATGTTTATAGG